GTTTCTGGTAATATGATGAGGTGGAGAAAGTTTTATAGAAACCGAATTCCAGAATATCGAATAAAAAATCACCTATCCCGTCGATTTTTCGGGAAATGAGCTTCTCACAATCGTTGTTAGCTTTTACTCGGCCCGTTCGATTAATTTGCTTTATAAAACTTTCATCTTGTCATCATTGTGCTTTCTGGTTTTTTGCCAAGCCATGATAAAATCTAAAGAAATCATGAATGAACAACACGATTTGGGATAGGAACCACCGTTCCTGTATCCCTAGAAAATGGTGGTAAACACGGACTCACTTGCCAAACTGGTTTGGATTGAGATTTTTATCGGGTATCAGGGAACCATGTGATTATAAATTAGACTTGATCAAAACGGGCCAAAACTTGAAATTCAGCCTGTTTGACCGACCCATGCCAAACTCTATTTTTTCTTTACTTTTAAACTTTTTATTTGAAAATGAAAAATAATGAAAGAAAATAGATAACTACAATTCGCCATTTGCGCATCACTGATTCGGGAATAAAAATATAGAATTTCGAAAGGAAACTAAAAATGTTTAGGATCGTTTTAATGTTAAAAATAACCAAATAGATTTTTCTGTTTAGTTTTTTACTAACAAATACCAAATGATTCCCTAAAATATACACTATAATTTAATCATTATGATATCAAATAATTACATAATATATATTTGAAATGATAAAAATTGGACTAATTGGGTTGGTCGAGGTTGAACCATTGAATAACTTTAAAATACATTATATTTTAGCCACTAAGATATAAAATAATAGCATAATATATATTATGCTAGAGAAAATAGCTTGTTTTAGAATGGAAAACTCATGATGTTCATTTGTATTACTTGATGGGAAAATCTCGTGTAGGTCAGGCCCATTCAACTTTTTAATTTATGATTAGCGGTTAGCCCATTAGAATTCATGCATTAGTTTATTGTTAAATTTTTTTCTTTTTGGCAATAAAAGGAGTATTGTTTTTGCCTTTTCATATATATTTTACCACCACGGAGAAATAAAAGGACTTAAAGAAAAAAATTGACACTACTGAACCCGTTTAAATCCGAATGTGTACGGTAAGTTGGCCCGTTCCACGGAGGAAAAAGAAAAAAATTGACACTCCCTATTCTACAATTCCTACAAACGCTCCTGGAGCAGGGAATTTGAAATGGGGGAATGGTTTTTTCCTCTCTGCGATTATATGTTTTTAATTTAAAAAGATACAACAAATGTACTTAGTGTGATTGGTTATGATCTTTACTTTTCTTTAAAGTGGTCATGGTTCGAATCCTAGTAAGTGTCTTTTAATGAATAAAAAAAGTAATTGTGAAGACCAAAATGTCTTTCCTACTTTTACTCTAAATGCAGGAAATTTGAAATGGGGCTTCAAGTTTTCTCATTTGGCTTTTATTTGTTGTGTAGATATTTTCCAATCATACACGAACACGACACAAGTTATTCGGTGGGGTAAGGCGGACTTTCTATAGTTTTATTTCCGGTATTTGAATTAGATTGCATATTTACCATTCTATCTTTTCATTACAATATCATATGTTGAAGTAAAAAAAAAAATTAGTGGTTTATAGTTTAGTGATGTTGTTATATATATGGGGAGTTCTACGGTACTTAGGGTGAAATCCGGGGTACCGCATACCAGGAGTAAGAAAAAGCTATCCAGAACTTGAATTGATTGATCTTTCGGACATGATACTATACTCTAACCCTTAAAGTTCAAAATCTAGATCTTAATTCTCTAAATCTTATACCCCAAAATCAATTTAATTATAAACAATAATCGACGGTTATGATTCGTCCAAATATCGACAAAAAAAATCAAGCACCATCTTAGGGTTTATAGTTTATGATTTAGATAATTAAGATCTAGGGTTCACTCATTAAGGGTTAGGGTATAGTATCATGCCCAAAAATCCTGCTAATTCGAGGTCTAGATAGCGTTTTTGTACTTAAGGTATGCGGTACCCCGAATTTCACCAGGGGTGCGTTTGGATACAAGGATTTGGATTTGGTATTTGTGATTTGGATTTTCAAATACCAAATCATGTGTTTGGATATTAATACATTTGGTATTTGGATTTGTGTCAAATTCATGGGGTGATTTCCAAATACATGTCTAGTGTATTTTTTGTCAACTTCAAATACATTTCAACAACTAGTGATTTGATATACCTCCTAACAAAAGAATGTACCTATTTGTAAAATATGAAAAGTTTAGGTACTATAGTGTGAGGCAAAACATATAAAGGTACCAAAATGTAATTTTACCATCAAAATTTCAGGACCTTTTTGTAAAATTTTAAAAGTTTAGGTACTAAATTGTAAGAAAAAATAATTTCGGGTACCAAACTGTAATTTACCAAAATTTGTAGTAAGTGGCCAGAAAATTAAAAATTGAAATTGAAAATCATAAATACAAAAACACAAACAAATTACAAATGAGTATCCAAACAATGAATTTGAATTACATGTATTTCAAATGCTAATACTTCAAATACATCCATTTCAAATGCTAGTATTTCAAATACCTTACATTTAAAATACACTTATCCAAACGCACCCCAGGGGTACCGTAGAAGGCACCATATACGTATATAGACCTCGATAAGAAAATAAAATGATATCTAGACCTCGAATTATTCGAGTTTTGGGGTATGATACTATATTCTAATCCTTGGTGACTTTATCTAAATCATAGACCCTAAACACTAAGATGGTGCATATAATTTGTTGGATGTATTTCGACGAATCATGACCATCGACTATTATTTTCAATTAAATTGATCATAATTTATGAGATTTATAGAATTAAGTTGTATCATCAATTTACATAACACAAAAAAGTTTTAAGGTAAGATAAGTTTTACATAGTAGTTTAATCAAATGTGATACTTAAAATAACTTACCTGATTTTATCATTAGACCACGTATTACAAAAGATTTACTTAACGTACGTGTTTGTGCCACGTAACCTGCCGCTCCCAATGGCTCTCGCACTCCTCCTATCTCTAGTACGCTTATGCTCCACGTCCTCCCTCCAGCACACAAAGGCGCCCACCGCCCCCGTAAGAAGGGCTCGTTAGCACTCCAACGCCCAAGTCAGAACGATCTTTCTAGAGAGAGAAGTGAGATGCAAGTTTTAGAGAGAAGTTAGAACCTGAGTAAATGAGCTCCACCCACTTCACTATTTATACCCAGGGTTGGGTCGACCACTGCCCCCCAGATCCGCCCCACGTCATCATCTCATTAAATGCATTATACCTTTCCCCTTCCATGCGCCCCGACACTCTGACACCGGCTTTTGTCACTGAGGCGCATGGCCCCACCTCCTGTCCCCTTCGTACGCTTTCGGCCGTTGCCCCCCTTTTGTCGCCATGCGCTTTTCCTCAGACCCGGTCCCACTGCCTAGGTTACAGCCTCTAGCCCCTTTTTGGGCTGGGCTTTCTTCCTGCCAGGCCCACACCTTTAGCCCATTTCGACCTCCTGGGCTCCTTGCTTGGGCCACTCACTGTATGCCCCCAACAGTACGTTTTATAACAATTATGTAAATTAAAAATTAGTACATAAAAACTTATAAAGGGATAATTATTCCTTATGTATCAATTAAACATAGCTTATCAAATAAGTCTTTCGTAGCCATAAGTTCCTTTTCCTCTATAGTCAACTATATTTGCGAAATACAAATACATTAAATAAAAGTTATAGAGTTACAATGTTTACCATCTCATTTGCATTATGCATTTGCATTATGCAAAAGTCATATAAGGTAAGATACTTTTATATAGTCGTGATTAATAGAATGTGATACTATAAATAACTTGCATGATTTTATCATTAGACCACACATTAAGAATAATTTACGTAACATCGTTTTATAACACTTACGCAAATGAAAAATTCATTCATAAAACTTATAGAGATAATTATTCCATATGTATCGGTTAAATATCATGTATTAAATAAATCTTTTGTAATGACTAAGACACAACGTAAAACTTATGAAGGGATACTAATTTCTATGTATCAATTAAATAAATATAATACATAAATCTTCTGTAGTATAAATTTGAATTAAATTCCTAAAATTTAACTAAACTATTAATCATCTCGTTAATTTGCATTATACATAAATATTGGAAGGAAAGTTAATTTTACATAAAAATTTAATCATAGATTATATCATTCGTAACTTAAGGAAGTATTTTCCCAAACTATTTTTGAACTATTTAATTTCAACTTATTTATTAAATCAAGTTATGTAATTTAAAATAAAATTAGTTTCTCACTACAGCAAAGCACGGGTAAAAAAACTAGTACTAAATAATAATAAAATAACCAAGCCCAAATCGAGACCCAATAATTACTATGACTTGATTCTCGTAACATGAACTCAAGTTGTCAACCCGTCCATCCCATGCTTATAATTACAAATACTTGTTTTTAAAGAAGAGGATCTCCATTTGATATTTCCAATACACTTAAGAGAAGAGAAGAAAGCTTGGAGAAGAAGTGGATGGTGTTCACATCTTGGGAAGCTTGAAGTTCTAGATCCGTAGACTAGTAGAAGATGGCCTCCCCTTTTGTATTTCTTCTTCTTCTTCCTCTTCTTTCATGGGACAATTCCATTGACACTTGGGGGGTTAGAACCTCTAACTTATTGTAGAGAGAGGATTTTGATATGATTTGAATGAGATTGTTATACTAGCTCTCTAGTAATTCCATTCACTTTGGTTCAAGTCAAGCCCTAGAATCAATTGGAATATAGGCGGTTCAATACACTATCATTGATTTACTTATCTTTTGTGTATTGGACTTGTGTGTCTCAACTTGAGAATTGAGACATGGAGGCAAAGGAAATTTAATGAGCAAAATTAATGAAGTAGTAGAAGTGCTAAATTTGCAAATGTTGTTAACATCTACCAAACTACACCCTTAATCATCAAAATCCCACACATTAAACAATCATCATCACCAAGAGTTGTCCAAGGGCTTCTCAAGCAGAGCAGAGAGGTACATCTCCCTGAGCTCCTCCCCGCGGTCAAGCTTCCTCCCAACCACCCACTTCACCTTCCTGAACCCAACGCTGCGGATGAGCGGGCCGTACACGTCCCTGAGCTCGTCCCCGACGCAGAAGAAGTGGTCGAGCCAGAAGATCCCGCCGGGCCGGAGCACCCGGTAGACGTCGAAGACGAGGAAGTGGAGCAGCGTGGTGGGGATCCAGTTGCTGAGCACGTGCATGGAGTGGACGATGTCCATGGTGTTGTCGAAGAAAGGAAGCCGCTGCGAGATGCTGACGTACATGGGGATCACCCCGCGCGACGCGATGAAGTTGTTGAAGGGCCCGTTGAGGTTCATGGACGTGGTGACGACGGTCACGTTGCGCTCCTTCATCCGGACGGCGAACGTGGCCACGCCGCCGCCGATGTCGAGGCCGATCCGGACGGTGCCCGGGGCGCGGAGGGAGAGGACCTCGTCGATGGTGAAGTCGAGGCTGCCGGCCGGGGCGGTCTTGCTGGACGACCACCGGCTCCTCTCCCGGCCGTTCAGGTCGAAGCAGTCCTTGCAATCGTCGAACCCCTTTTGCTTTATGTACCTACAAAATCAGAATCAAATCTTGCTTTTTATGAGGTTCTGCTGACATGCTTTATAAGTTTTTCTGTTATTTGTGGTGTGGTTTATGAATTTTGTAGTGTTGTTAGTAGGGGTGGCTATACGGTTCGGTCCGGTGAAATTGGCCCGAATTGATTCGGTCTCAGTCCGGTTTTTTGGGAATATAAGGACCAAAAATTGGATTGGATACAGTCCGGTCCCAATTTGGTCTTGATTTTAGATTGAGCTTGTGGGGATTTGAGTGCCCTGAGAGACCTGAAAGGGTGAGAAGTAATTGGTTAAGTTTGGGTGTTGGGGTCTCTTATTCGTTCTTAATCCGATTTTTGATCCTGTCCCAAACGGTTTTTTTTACCTCAAATCTAAGTCCGAATATGAGATTGGATTGTTTGCTATCCGGTCTCAGTCCGGGTTATACGGTCCTGTTTCTGGTAAAACCAAACAGTCCGAACCAAATAACCAGCCCTAGTGGTGAGGTTCTACTATGCTTTATAAACTTTCTAGTATGCTTTGACCTTTGAGTTAACTGATATTGAAGAAAAATTACATTTCAGTACCTAAAATTTTTTTGGCTCATAATTTGATACCTACCCTTTTTAAAATTATAAATAGGTCCAACTTAATGAGGTTTCTGGTATGTTTGAAGAAATATGCGGTATGTTTTATGAGGTTTAATTTAAGGTATGCTTTAAGAAATTTGTGGCACGGTTTATGAATTTTGTGGTCTGGTGAGGTTCTAGTATGTTTTTATAATATGATTTTTTTTATATATTTGTTGTCTGGTTATAAAATTTTTTTTTTCTGGTATTCTTTATAGATTTTTTTCTGAGATTTTGTGTTTCAACTGTTATAATAAAATCACTAATTGTTTTTAAGCTGATGTTTTTGGAATTTAACAAAAATTAATCCAACCGGGGAAATTATTCCAGCTTATATATGATGCGCACCTCAACCTTGCTTTAAAATCTTTCTACTGAAATTGGTATACCTAAAAGTTGAGCTGGCTGGTGTAATCAACAATTTAAAGTATATATATATGTATAAAAAAAACACGTACGGTAATATGGCTTTAGTGTATCCGACAGACAGATTTGGTATGGTATTACAATTATAAATACCATCATGAATGATGATCACCTGATTGTTGCTTATTAAGAGACTGGGGGGGAAAAAAAAGTCAACTGATTATTAGAAAAGCAACAAGTGAAGTTAATTACCTGTCTATGAGACACTGGTAGTTTTTGCAAGTGTAGGCCGTCCAGACGACGGAGGAGTCGGGCGGAGTCTTCCACTGCGACTCCGGCAGCGGGTACGGCTCCACGCAGTGGTTCTGGGTGGCGGGGCGGCACCTCCGCCGTGGCAGCGGCTCGCACCCTTTCAGGAGCAGCTTCTGGGCGAGCAGCTCGTCGTCGGGGCACGACCCGTTGACTTCGTACGACATGAACCGCCGGAGCTCCTCCGGGAACCGGCTGCACGAGCTCCCCACCGGCGGGTAGATCTTGTCCGAGTCGAAGTTGGTGTTGAAGCCGAAGGGCAGGACCTGGCCGGAGGTGAAGGCGATGAACTCCGCCGGAAGATCTTCCTCCTCATCGGTGGAAGCGATTGATTGGGTGGTGCGAAGCGGTTGTGGCGGGGTTGAAGATGAGTCTCTACCGGAGGAAGGGATGAGAGTGATGGCGGCGGAGGAGAGGGAGCAGGAGGAGGATGAGTAGAAGGTGGCGGAGAGGAAGAGAGTGATGAGGTTGGTGGAGAGGAGAAGGAAGAGGAAGAAGAGGTTTGTTGACAGAGCTTTCGGTTTATGTGGAGACTCCATTTCTCTAAGATTTGTCTTTCTTTTTTTTGTGTGTGCTTGGATCCCTTTGAATTGAAGGGAAACATATAATTGTGGAATGAAGTAGCAAGGATAGACAAGCGTTGGGTCTTTTTTTTATTATTTTTTATTCTAATGATAAGACTTGCTAAAAATATTCCTAATATACAACACTTACACACACAAAAATTAATAGTATAATATACAAAGTTTGGAGCAGTTTGCTCTGGTGTTCAATGTTATAAGTGCCCGATCGTTGGAGACTTAAAGCGATTTTAGCCAAATTGCTAGAGACTAAAGCGAGCCATTCTAGATCACGACCAACTCCAACGAACTTTACATTAATTTCCACCTTTCTGCATATAACTTCTATAATATAATTTTTTTATTTTGGTAAATGGATGCAACGCATCTCAGCTTTCATTCACAAACAAGATGAGGCTCGGAGATACCTTAACAGTCATACAAAAGGACCGGACAAAGAGCAGGATCTGAAATAGACACAGAGTGAAAACCCAAAGGGAGGGAGTGCCCGCGGTTAGCTAGGAAATCATCACATTTACTGTTGAACTTCTATAGTAGAAGTTGTAATTTTTGAAAAGTTGTGCAAAATGAAAAAATATAGTTTGTGTGTCGATCAAATAAGCGAGCATAAAATTACGATCTTCCGAAATTTATTCGAAGAGGTGTGCACCGTATTGATTTTTGTTATTCAAGAAATTAAAAAATGCATTGATTGAATTTAATTACTAGAGTTTGCTCGCCGGAATTTACTCATCTACTAATTTATGTGCAGAAAAGTAAAGCTTCCTAACTGTGCCTCGCATTGAATGATTGGCACATTCAGGACGGTGGGAAACCGCGGCGGCGACTGCACTGCAGTCTGTAGCTAGATCCGCGTCTCCCGGGCAGGCTCCATTTTTCTTCTCACATTAACCAAAGTCCACTCTGTGCACTGGGATTCAAATAATAAAAAGTTTTACTTTACCAGCTTGCATTATATTCGTATGTAGCGGTAGCGGAGTTTGACTGTTGAAAGTTAAAACGACGCAAAATAAAAGAAGGCAAGGCACAGTAAAATAATAATAATAATAATAATAATGGAAGTGAATGAGTGAGCAAAAAGAGGAGCATTCCATCGAGATTTGGGGAATAGGCAGTCCCAGTCTGCGTTGGTCTCTTGCGATCCGCATAAACTGGCAACATCTTTAATTAAACTCTAGTGGTTTCTCCCGCAAATTTTGCGGTTTTAAAGTTTAAACTAAACAGAAAACAATTTGACATTCTTTAGTGGTGAAAATAGGTATGGTATTGGATACCAATATCAAATATCGAAATTCTGAATATAGAATTACATTCTAAAGTCAATCTTAATCTCTAAATAATTTCGGTATCCCAATCTCAATCCTTAAATATTTTGATATCTCAATCAGTATTATCGAATATGAAATTAATTATCTTTGCAATTAATAATTAAATATATAAATTAAATTTGATTGTTTAATTTAGAGCAAAAAGACTAAGCAAAGAGTCTTGAGTTGCCTAGAGCTAGGACATGGATAAGGGGGAATGAAGGAGACGTGCTCTTGACATTGGTAATTTTTAATTTGACGAATTGGATGCTGAGAAACGACTAATACCAGGAATTTTTTCCAGAATAGCACTGCTTCAAAAAAATTACAAAAATAGCACCAAATCCCGAAAAATTCCAAAAATATCACCCTTTCTCAAAAACCGCTACCCCGAACGACCTTTTTTCTGATTTCGCCAAACTTTGGACGACCATAACTTTGTAATTTTTGAGAAAGTGTGTTATTTTTGGAATTTTTCGGGATTGAGTGTTATTTTTGTAAAATTTGTTAAACATTGTGATTTCTTGAAAATATCCTAATACTAGTGTTTGCTTTTTGGTGTTATGAAAATAACAAGAGATTAGGTGAGAGACGAGAGTGACTTAAACCTTGCTATTTTCACAATTTTTTATCCGATCCATTATTCCAAGACTTGGATGGCCAGCCACCCATCTTGTATTATTTTGCTATAATCTTCATGCTTTTCCAATATGGTTCATATCTAAAGCTCCATCCCCAAGTAATCTCTTCTTCCTCCAAATTCAGCTTTATCTGTATGGGTATATGATCAGAGTCACATCTCTCCAGGTGGTTTACTCTCATGTCAGGAAAGCAATCCATCCACTTTTTGTTTCCAACTGCCCTATCTAGGTGTTCCTCTGTATAGTCATCCCCTGATTTATTGTTGAGATGTTTTACCATGGATTTAAGAGTTTGAGATTTAGAACTTGAAGTCTCAAATCACATCATCATCATTTTCTATTTGTTTGTCATGTTTACGATATGTACACAAAACAAAGACAATACGTACTAATAAGCATAATGTTGCCACAAAGACTATAACAATACACAAAAAATTAGGTTTAACTTTTAAGGTAACATATATCATTTACAAATTCTTTGCCCTACTTTTCAAAAGTAAAATATAGCAACATATATTAAAACCGGGAGGACAAAGAATTACACGTTACTTGAAAAAGGTCAAAGGAAACTAGAGCACAAAAAGAGAATAAAAAATCTACCTCATGTGTGCACATTAATTGAATATTTATACTATTTATGTTGTTAATTAATTGATTAATTATAATATACAATAGATCAATGTGAGAGCAACCTTGAAATATTAAATATTTATGAGGATATATAAGTAAAATCTCACCATATATTTATGACATGTTACAAATCACATATCAACTAGCATGGAGTCTCGGCCAGTTGGCCGGAGGAGGTGAGTTATGAAATTTGAGAATGTAATGGAGTGTATAGTTTATTGTTGTATAAGTTTTTTGGAAACACGTGATAGTGAATTTAAGAAGAAAAAAAAGGCATGAAGAAAAAAATCAGTCTTATGAACGAAGTTCGAGTACCTGTTACCTTGTGAAACAGTATTATTTCTGGTAATATGAGGAGGTGGAGTAAGTTTATAGAAACCGAATTCTAGAAAACCGAATAAAAAATCGCCTATCCTTCCAGTCTTCGAGAAATGAGCATCTCACAATCTTTGCTAGCTTTTACTCGGCCCGTTGGCCGATTAATTTTCTTTATAAAACTTTTATCTTGTTGTCAAAGTTATTAATTTGAATGAAAAAAATTCATTCATCAACTCACGGAAAGGGTTAAATGGTTAACCTACGATCCAACTCCATTAGCCTAGTTTTTCTAATTTGAAACATATATTATGCTATTATTTTATATTTTAAAGTTATTAAATGGTTCAACCTCGACCAACCCGAATAGTCCAATTTTTATTATTTTAAATATATATTATGAAATTATTTGATATCATTATGATTAAATTATAGTGTATTTTGTAGGGAAGCGTTTCGTATTTGTTAGTAAAAAACTAAATAGAAAGATGCATTTGGTTATTTTTAACATTAAAACAATCCTAAATATTTTCAGTTTCCTTTCGACTTTCTATGTTTTTGTTCCCGAAGCAGTGATGTGCAAATGGCGAATTGCAGTTTTCTCTTTTCTTTCACTATTTTTTATTTTCAAATAGAAAGTTTGAAAGTGAAGAATAATTGGAGTTTGGCATAGGGCCGATCAAACAGGCTGAATTTCAAGTATTGATCCGTTTTGATCAAGTCAAATTTATAATCACATGGTTCCCTGACACCCGATAAAAGTCTTAATCCAAACCAGTTCGCCAGTTGAGTTTGTGTTTACCACTATTTTCTAGGAATACAGAAATGACGGTTCCTATCCCAAATCGTGTTGTTCGTTCTTGATGTCTTTAGATTTTATCATGGCATGACAAAAACCAGAAAACACAATGAATCCACTGAACCCAAAATCGCTGGGAAGAAGGGTGGAAATCACAAACACAGCGGATGGATCTCCTGACCCAATCTCCTTCACGCTTCCTCGACGGGAGAGAAGCAAAGACAGAGGGGTATGGAAACATCTTCCGATCGGGATGAGAAGTGGAGGAATCGTCACCAGAACGGGAAGAAGCACACACTTCACATGAAATTGATCGTGAAGAACCAGAATCGGTGCAGAAGGTCGATACAGGTGGCGAGTTTGTTGTAAATCACCCGTCGATCCGCAACTGGCTTGCAGATGAGAATGATAGATGTGGCAGGGGAGTGGGCGATCAATCCGGCCTTAGGTAACCAGGTCGTGGAGCGAGAGCAGGAGTGAGAGGGCAAGAGCGTCTATTTCAGAAGAACTTAAAGTTGAAAGCGTGACGAGAGCGTCATTATTACATTATATATAATTATTTTATATTAATATAATTGACAATTAGTATACAAAATATCATTTATTTTGTTTATATTAACAATATATAAACCATAAAATATTAATGGATAAAGGGTTTTTTTTATTACAATGGATAAAGGTTTAATAATATGGAAAAAGGGTTTATTTTCACAATATTGCATTAAGATTGTATTAATCCTTCGTTCCATTTTTCCCGTCATAAAATTTAACAATTTGGAATTTGAGTAAAAACTAAATTAAAGTCCAAAAATATTGCCACAAAAAAGTCTAAGATTATTAGTAAATAGTCTTTGGGCTTTCCACCCCTAGTACTTATACAAGTCTATAGTTACGTTGATGTAAAAACAGAAAGGACAATAATATCCAGCAACCGGAAACATCGAGACGGTGGATGATTCTCCTCAATTCAAAGGTGTCGACTTTTCCTGTTCGGCGTCGACTATTGGTCGTCATATCTCTCCGACGCCGGAACTCCTTGTTTTCTCCAGAATGAAGTATCTCTATAATCCCAGAGCCCTATATCTCAATACTCGTTGGTAGTTCTTTCATTTTTAGCTCGACCGACCTCAATTAATCGGCAATCTCCTTCATCCATTTAGAGCTGATGGTTGCAGTGTTCTCGCCTCTCATTGAGTCTACTCTTATTTCACCTATTCACCCAATTAATGACTCAAAGTTTCTTTTCAAACTCTACGCAAAAGGGTAGTTTTAATCGGATCCGCGTTCTCCCACAACAAATCCGCGCTCCCGCCGAAATCAATTCTCGAATTGTATACGACTTGCCAGAAATTCGCGTTTTTGCGGATTGGAGCGTGAACGTGGGTTTGGAACCCACGAATTGTGTATCCTAAGTCTGACGAACAGATGCTCGTGGCTGAAACCTATTATGCTTTTGTGGGCCGCAACAATCTCTGGGCCCGTTCAAGTCCGCGCGTGTACGGTATGTTGGCCCGTTCCATAGAGGAAAGAGAAAAAAATTAGCACTACCTATTGTAGCCTTTCTACAAACGCTCCTGGAGCAGCAAATTTGAAATGGAGGAAGAGTTTTTTCCTTGCAGTTATTATATTATGTGCAGATAAGATAGATATAAATGTAAATTAAGTATTAAAATACAACTAAAATAATCAAAATATGAAAATCAAAGTATCAACCCAAATAAATACTTACAGAAAATTCAGTGACCAACTAATCGTCGAAAAAGTCATATGATTTTAAGAATTTAGGTTTATGTATGTTTTTAATTTAAAAAGATACAACAAATATACTTAGTGTGATTCGTTATGATCCTTGCTTTTCTTTAAATTGACCATAGTTCAAATCCCAATACACGGAGCAACAGTTTTTCTCTTTGTGCTATTATATTATGTGTAGATATGTGAGATTTACAAGTTCTTGAGGTCCACAAATTTGGACCCCACCAATTTAGTTCCTAAAAAACGTACATGTAAACAGTCTATTATTCATAAATCCATAATTAGGGGAGGGAAACATTGCGGTGTGGTTAACTGCACCGCAATTTGCGATTAACCACAACCGCAAAGTACCCATATTAACCAACCGCAACTGGTACGGTTAGCGGTTAATCGCTAACCATAAAATGCGGTTAACTGTGCACCGACATTACTGGAGTTAACAACCGATTTAACCGCATTTGTGTGACTAGCAGAGAGACGACAGCAGGGGCAGCAGAGCAGATGTGGAGAGCGACGGTCGACAAGTAGAATCGATGTGGAGAGCGATGAGCAGAGAGTGTAGCATGAGTCAGCGAACATATTAGAGCAAGTCACTTGACGAGACTCGAGAGACGATGAGAAGAGCAGAAGCAGATGTGATTGTCGCGCCGTCTGAGGAAGTCGAGACTCGAGCCTACCGCTGCGGGGACGAGGACCGACATCGACAAGGTCACAAGGGACGACAGCGGGCAGATTTACTGATCGTCGATCGACGTCTCCACTCTCTCTCAACTCTCAAGGCTCTCGCCGGCGGGCGATTTAGGGTAGCTGGGTTAGGGGTTTCAGTCTTTCAGACCTGGGAAGTGGGAAATGGAATTGCAATTCGCAAAGCCAAAATGGCGAAGTGGGGGAAGGGGGCAGGTCGGGTTGGGCTGAGGTGGGGGTGGGGTTTGTGTTATGGGCTGGGCTGGACTGGAAATGAATTGGACTGGATTTTTTCGGTTAGCATTGCGGTTAGAGATATTCGCGGTATTGGTTGCGGTTAAACCGCAAACAACCAATATCTCCAACCGCGATCGCAAAAGATGTTGTTTTTGCGATTTACAGTTTAACCACTAACTGTGCGATTTCGGTGCGGTTAGTGATTTAATCAAAAAATCGCAATTATTTTTCTAACTCTATCCATAATATATTATTCAAATCCAAGAAGCAAACTACTCCTATCTCCGGAGCAAATCCAAAATGTCATCAACGTGCGGGCCGCGGGGGCCGTTGGCAGTAGGATATAAAATACTGGTTCGGCCCACCAAACTCAGAATTTGCTCTCTGTTTAGGGTTTTATTAGGTTGGAGGCAGAAAAGAAAACTAGCGAAGGGAAGCGAAGCTGTGCCCGCCGATCTTTAAACATGTTTCCCGGGATGTTCATGAAGAAGCCGGACAAGGCTGAGGCGTACAAGCAGCTGAAAGTCCACGCCGCTATGTTCGCTGCCTGGGTCGCCGTCATCCGCGTCAGTCCTTACCTCCTCCACTATCTCTCCGCCGCCGAGAAGGAAGAGCTCAAGCTCGAGTTCTAGATTTCTCCCCATCTCTGTTCGTATATTGCTGCAATTTTAATCTCTGTACTCCGTTTCTTCTTGCGAATATATACGGTATGATTGGTTTTCCAAAGGTTTAATTGAGGCTCTAGTGGCTTGAATTCGTTTCGCTATTATGGTTGGAATTAGCTTTGCGTTAGCAGATTTCTTAGTTTTTAACGCTTGAATTTGTGTTATTTTGGATGCGAATGTAACGTGATCTGCTTGGTGGGGCGGAATAGTGGTACTGATTTGCCGATCATAGAACCGAATTTGATCCACTTGCCACAATCCGAGACCTTCCTTTGTTGATAGTCGATGTTAAAGCCCTTTGATTCTCTTGGCTTAGTAAGACTGTCAAACACCAGGGTTCTCTGCTTTTGGCATATTATCAAACAGTTTTGGTGTTCGTTTTCCAGTGTTCGATCTCCCCTCTTCTCTTCTGTGTAGTTTTTCATGAATTTTGTCCTGAGGGTGTCGATTCTCTGCATTACTCCGAGGTTGGGCCTCTTTTCCTTTCGTTAGAGAACTGATTATGATGAGCAACTACACCGGGAAACAGGTTCATTGTATACTGAAACAACAAGCCAGCGATGGCTTTCTCAAGTTACACTTGGACATCAACAGACATCAAGGTCTCCCAGTCACGGATACGAAGTGAATCTTGAAGCACCGTAGTAACAAAGTGCATCTTGAAGCACGCATACTACTGTGATTTACCAACCTCTAATCCTATACCATGTACAAAAAGACATCAGGATGTGTCATTTGAATGTTCAAACTTAAACTTGATCAATCCACAACAAGGCCGATCATGACTCAAGATCGAATGAGGTTGTCTTTTTCGAGATTGGATCTTTCTTTCTTACGATACAGAAGCTTCTACAACACCCACTTCAATTTATCAGTACAAGTTGAAGTTTATCTCAACCCTGCTCGTTTCGTTTAACGGCTTATTAGGTTGACAGTGTAGCTCTTGGAAATTCCAATCAATCACAAGATCTCCCTCAGTCCAGCAGAGGAACCCAACAATCAAATAGCTACGCAACTACTGGGGAAGCAAGGTTTGTGAAACTATATCAAGCAGAGGAACCCAACAATCAAATAGCTACGCAACTACTGGGGAAGCAAGGTTTGTGAAACTATATCAGAAGTCATACCATACTCATCTTTGGTAAGACATTTTGAGGTACTACCATGGTTTAACCATTTTGTAATGATTAAAACCCGCTTTTGACATAGTAAAATATTTTTTTGTCAAAAAAGCGTACCGACAAAATTTGCCCGACATACGACATGAATTGTGATTCCGAAGGCTAGCAGAGCTTGAAATGAAACTATGGCCTGGTTAACAAGAATGATCATACGCTTAGAAGCGCAAAATCCAACAAACTTATCATCATTGGTGATATTTGGTGGAACTAAAAGAATAAGGAGATTTCTTTAACCGGCAAAACAATGAACAAAACCTGACAGTCTCCTTTTAGAAGTTAGAATTAGAAGTAAATGTTATGTTAGAGAAGTTGTGGGAGTAAGTGGTAATTTGCCACTAACGGCTATAAACGTTCCGCTCACCACTGTATAAAAGGTATCCACGCAAATAAAAATAAGGGTTGCTATTCGTTGCCCTAAAATTTTTTATTCATCACCCTAATTAAGGTTTTAGATGAGTCATTTGTATAATTTTACCATTTTGCCCTTACATTTAATATGTTCCCTTATTTTGTTTCCTATTCTAATAAAAACCTCCCACTTAAACAAAAATTATTTGAAAATAACCAGCCTCATATCCGTTCGCTTGCCCGCCAATTCTCGTCTCAAGTCCGTGAAGTGCTCACCTCTTTGCCGCCTGTCTCTTCTGTCCATCCTCATGTGTCTGCGTCTTCAAGCCATCTCTAGTAGAGCCCCCTCAAGATTATCTGAAGGTCAATTTCGACGCTGTTGACCAAGCTTTGGTTGCTCGTCTGTCCTTGTGGTTCGTGGCTCGGACGGACATGTGTTGCTTGCCTCGGGTTTCCAAAATAAGGGGATCTCGGATCCGTACCTTGCAGAGCTCATTGCAGCTAGATATGCGATCTCGCTTACAACTTCTAGGGGTTTGACTCATGTCATCATCGAGGGCGATGCAACAGTGATCATTCGTCAACTCAGCCTTGGTGCAGTAGATGATATCGTTGGTGGTCCTCTCTTACGAGATTGTTTGCTTATTCTTGAGTCTCTGTCTTATTGTATAGATTTAGTGCGGTTCCGCTGACTGCCAACTAGGCTGCCCATAAAGTGGCACGTAAAGGCCTGTTGCTGTCTCGGTTAGAGGTAGCTACTTTTAACTTTGTAGGTTGGCTTGTTAGTAGGATGGGGAGGGGATGTGGGTAGTGCTCGTTTTAACTATCTTCCTGATCTTACTCTAGAAAAAAAAACAAAAATTATTTTGAAACCAACAAAACATATTATTTGGGTGTTTTCCATTATAATAATACTTTCTAACTTTAAATAATAATTATATGTTTTTTTATGAAAGATAACGCCTCCATAAGTCTCAAATTTTAAACTAATTACAAATGGTAGTGTTTGTGAACGTAAATGATGCACTGTTACGTAGATGACCATCTTCGTCCCTAATGAAATTTTGGGGGAAAGAAAAAAAAATTCTGAGAGGAGACATAGCAATGACATAGAAAACAATTAATAGAAAGAGAAGGATAGAAGTGGTTTTACATAAAATAGGCAAGGATATAGTTGGAACATTTGGACTAAATAATGAGTCATTTGGAAATGACTCAGGGATATGAGACACCATAGTGAGGGATATGGCCACTTTTTTCACCTAATCAGACCAGACTCAGATGCTGGTGCAGCTCAGATTTTCATGGATGGAGTTTTCAGGTTACATGGAATCCCTCAAACTATAGCGAGGGATAGGGATTCAGTGTTCACTGGTACTTTCTCGACACTTTGCTTGCCCTACAAGGTGTGGATTTGTTATTTTCTACAACACATCACTTTTAGGGATATGTTCATAAATTTCTTGCAAGACAAGTTACATATAATATCATGAAATCAATACTAGTCATGTGTAAGATCATGAAATCAAGCAAACACATACTCATTCATCCTAGTCTACATAATACACTACCTCTCCTTAAGGAATCTTATTCCCCTATAGTACTCAAGATTACATAATGATTCCTCCAAGGATAAAAATGTCGTACCTTTTTGGCGTAGTGGTACCTCAAACCTCGGAAACAAACTAGCACAATGAATCATTGAGAACCACACTGACTCGAATTTTCTTTTGGAAAGAATGCAGAAAAATTCAATATGGATTTTGACAGAGTTTTGGGGAAGAAAATCGTATCTCTTTTCTGTCTATAAGTAGGGCTGGAAGTTTGGTACCGATATTTGGGATATTACCGAATACTGTATCGAATTTATCACTATTTGGTATCACCGAATACCGACTTATTTTTTGGGATTGTGATTCATTTTGAGGTCTATTCGGGATTACGAGATTGAGATCGGTATATACTGAAATACCGTGAAATATCAAAAATTAAAAATTAATGAAATATAGCGCACAACCTTTGGTCATTCCTTACCCTTTCAGTTCACAACTTAGAAGCCCCCATTTAACTTAATTTTAGGTTTCCAGTTTAAGTCACTAGCGTCTCTCACCTAATTTCTTATTATTTTCATAACACAAAAAAGCAAACACTAGTACTAGTCGTCTCTCAGACTCTAATTCGTCAAATTAAAGATTACCAATGACAAGAATTTGAGGTGTCACCTCTCCTCCATTCTCCTTATCCATATCCTAACTCTGGGCAAACTCAAAACTCTTTGCTTAGTATCTTTGCCCCAAAATTAAACAATTAAATATAATTCATATATTTAAATATTAATTACAAAGGTAATTAATTTCGTATTCGATAATACCAATTGGGATACCGAAATATTTAGGGATTGGGATACCAAAATTATTTAGGGACTAAGGAGATTGATTTTAGGGTGTAATTCGATATTCGAGATTTCGGTATTTGGTATTGGAATACCGACATCGTACAAATTTCTACCCCTGCATAGAAAACCATAGGGGTTTGGTGCTATTTATAGAAAACATAGGTTTTGGTGCTTCAATGATCGTGCTTGCTGTGGATTGATCAAGTTTAAGTTTGAACATTCAAATGATGCATATCCTGATGTCTTTTTCTACATGGTATAGGATTAGAGGTTGGTAAATCACAGTAGTATGTGTACGAAGGGAGCCGATTGTTCAAGTGAGTGGTTACACCTCAATCTTTGCATTAGTTATTTGAAGTTTCTCAACCATTGCATCGGTTAGGTTCATGGGAGTTGGATCAACTAGTTTATTCCAACTGCCAAATTAGTTTTTTTATTCAGTTTAGTATGGTTGGTTACACTAATCAATTTGATTAATTACCTAACGATTTAGTCTAATCAAATCTAGCGAATATGAGGCCTCGCCTTCACACATCACCAACATGATACTTCAAAAGTTAATGAATTCGGGAGATTTTTGTTTTCACGATGACAACCTTGCTCACTGTTGCTTCCTACCTTTTGCAGCTCGCTCTCCTTGCCACCTTGATCAGCGATTGGAGGAATTCCGCTCTCTCGACGGCTGAGATTTTCTAGGTTGGCGACACATATGAAACGACGGGCGGGTGGATCTGAAGGTTGAGCTGCGGTGTGGAAATTGGGGAGGAGGAGGTGGAACATGGGAAGAAGGGTGATGAGTCATGAGAGAGAGGGAGGTTGGGAGGGAGAATTTTTTTTTGTATTTATGTATTTTTTGTTAATCCACGTTGATTAATAGGAACGGACTGTCGTCAATTCAACATTTTCATCAGTCCAGCCAGTGTTAAGCGCCACCGTTAAATAGATGGACGAAAGTGGCTATTTTTTTATATTTCGAAAGTTTTGGCTATAACTATTACAAACGTAAAAATTGTCTCTATGAAAGTGTATTTTGCCTTGTTATAAAGAAAAAAATAGGTAGACAATCCCTCATTAGCAATCTCATATTTTGATAGAAAATTGATGAATGATTGTAGATGAGCCCATAAAAAATGTAATACATATATTTTTTGATGAAATAATACATGTAGTTAATCTCAAATTCAAATTTAACCGATAAAATGACTTAGGGGTTGTTTGGAAGTTGTGATTCTTCAAATTGATGTATTGGGATAATTAGTGTATTATCATTTGATGGATTGAATCAATTGATGTATTAGGTAAATATCTTGTTTGGAGGTTTAGATTGTGTTTTTGTTCAAAAGGTAAAAAAGTTAGTATTGAGTGATTGTGAAGAATCTCAACAAAAACTAGAGATTGTAAATCCCTCAATATTGAATGATTGTGGTGGGGTCTCCAAAAAGTAAATGCATGTATTCTAGACATTTCTAGTTCTATATAAACCAAAAAAAGACCTAGGGGTCATTTGGAAGTTGTGATTCTTCAAATTGATGCATTAGGTCAATTAGTGTATTATCATTTGATGTATTGATTCAATGCATGTATTAGGAAAATACTTTGTTTGGAAGAGCAATGATGAAACAAAAAGTAGGGTAGAAAATCCCTCATTAACAATCTCACCTTTTAGTAGAGATTTAAAATTATTCATTTTGAGTGATTGTAGGTGGGCCCAACAAAAAGGTAATGCATGCATTCTAACTCAAAGTGAACTAAAAACACGACTTAATCTTATCATTACATGTATTTGCTAAATACCTCACTTCAAATCTCAACCTCCAAACGACCCCTTAATCTCACAAATACATGAATTAGATCAATACACCATTTGAAATCACAACTTCCAAACGACCCCCTTAGTATGTATTGACTAAATAAATCACTCAAAATCAACAAACCATCTCTCCATTCAAAATTTTGTTGCAATTAGAAACAGGCTGGTTAGTACACGGGCTACGCCTTTTAATTTGCAATTTAAGCTACCCCTACCTTGTCCCTCGGTCTCGGCTGGCCACCTTGTCGAAGTTCCACCACTCCATTTTTCCCTGTGGATTCATCTTTTGATCGCCCTATATCTTCTCCCGAATCATTTCTTATTCACCGTACCTCAGCGCCGCCTCCACTTCATCTGCTCTCTTCCCTAAGCCGGCTTGTCCTTCTCCTTCGCGGGAATCACCAGGGCGCTGCTTCAGCTGGCGAGATTACGTTATAGGTTAGAATTAGGGTTTGGTTTATCAATTCCGAACCTTAGCTGCGAAATTCCATAGCTCTAGTTTAAAAGCTAGGAGGATGCCAAGTAATTTGAGCACCCCATGAATTTTTGTCGCCGATTAGTGCTGGTATGAGGGTAAATAGCTATTCTTGTGGTAATTGCGGTTGGGCACCGTGGGAACTGTTTTAGACATTTTGCTTGCCTGATGTTGCTCAATGACTATATTGCTTATTTGGTTTTGTTTTGCTTCTCTTAAAGGTATAACTTCGGCGATCAGGAACGATGGAAATACAAACAAGCGGCAAGCCCATTGACTCGTTTTTGGAGAGAGTCCTGTGTATGAACATTCTCTCTTCCGATTACTTCAAAGAGCTTTACAGGTTAAAGACGTACCATGAAGTGATCGATGAAATTTACAATCAAGTTGACCATGTGGAACCATGGATGACGGGGAACTGTCGCGGGCCGTCAACTGCCTTTTGTCTTCTCTACAAGTGTTTTACCATGAAACTCACGGTCAAGCAGATGCACGGCCTATTAAAGCACAAAGATTCACCTTATATCAGAGCGGTAATGTTGCTGTTCCTATATGTTTGTCTGGTTAGAGTTTAAAATTGCTGAATGAATTGCATTCCTATAATTTATACTATGCGCAGGCTGATGAATATTCAAAAGGTTTGATCTTGTGATACCGCTGGATCACTTGCTAAATATTTTTTGAAATAAGATTAAGAGGGTGCAGTAGAAGAGGCCCCTTTGCTTGAGCGTAGAAACTGTGAGTACTCGGAGTAGCGATTAATGTTTTCTTAGCTGCTGTCTTTGAGGGAGCTCACCTTCTCGTCTCTTTTATTTGATCCACATGGTCAACCTCAAGTTGGGATTCATAGCAGAAGCCAGTTCCCTTGTATTTTCGGTTTTCTGATGAAGTTACACTTCTGTGTAGACTTCAATGTAATTAAATGGAAATGCTACACAGTTAGCACTGTAGCCACATGAGCGGCCCTGTTTGGTCAGGATGTGTAGAAGTTCCCTGGGAACAACTTTGGATATCAGCCTAAATTGATCCAGAAACCTCTATAGAATGTAAGCCACTTGGGAGTAGGAACGTTTTAACTAAAGCTGCCATCGAGTTTTGGGTCATTATTCAGTAGCATTATGTCGTTAGCCTGACAAGGTTGCAGATATTTTTGTGCCACTATGTTGCAATCAAAGTAATTAGTGGGGATCAGTTACAGTTAGTAAATCTGGTCCCTAGTTCGCTGTTTATATTTCTTGTTTGATTAATGAGTCCTTAGTGAATGACGTGTTTGATAGTATCATTCTGTAATGGAAGTGGGCCACTATGTGTTGCAATTCTCATTCATTTTGTATGTTTTTATTGGGTTGGCTCTTGTAACACTGGCATTTTTCTTTTCATCCCAAGCACCAGACCTTTATATGTTATCTGACAAGTAACTAGTACTTGTAATTGTTGAGAGAACGCACAACAACGTATTTAGGTATTTTGTGTTGTAAGGGTTAGCAACAAAAAAAACCCGCAAGCCCTAAATACATTCTTGATATTCTGATGAAGGAGCATAAATGATCATATTCTTGTTGCCCCTACCGAATTTTGTACCTCCAGATTGACTTGGCCTTCTTTCTGTTAGCTGATTAGATGTTCTAACCTCTGCATAGTGCTGCCATTGTTACCCTGAGCAGATGTTCACAATACAAGGTTTGGGGAGTCTGTCGTCTTCTCACTTTGAAAGCTTCTAGTGGTTAATCAATCCTTCTGTTGTTTCCGACCAGCTTCTTGCTAATCTATCTGCTGTTGCTAACTCCAGACATGTGTAAACCAAGAATGTGAAATTTTTCCCTCTTTGTCAGCTGGATCAATTAGTGCTCATGTTCACTTGAGACTTAAGTAATTATGAGGCTTCATATAAAAAAAATGTAATTATGAGGCTTTTTGGCATATGTGATTATGGCATTCACTTATATTCATTGGGTATCCTGACATCTACATACTTGACGGTCCGCTGCATAAGTGTATCTCGTAGCAGATACCTACTTCATGTTAACTTTAGCTTGTGATGTTGCGTAATTGGTATCTTGTAATTTGATTACAGATTGGATTCCTGTACTTGAGATATGCTGCAGATCCTAAGACAATGTGGAACTGGTATGAACCATATATTGAAGATGATGAGGTACTTTCTTGTGGCACAATCTTGATAAAACCTACAACGAATATTTCCATTTTTGCTTGGGTCCTGTCATACATGCTTGAGTTTATATGTTAGCGGTAATTGAATGTGATAGTGATGTTCAAACAGATATTTTAGGAAATGTGGATAACTGTTATCTGCCATTTACTGAATCTGAAAGGTGTGAAGCAATTCCTGATTTCTGTTATCAATTTAACAAAAATCCTGAATAAGAGTATTCCTATCCTGGCTGAGAAATCTAGTACCGCCCTTTAGGATGTTCAGGAGCATATGAACATGTGCTTTTGTTATGCTTGTACCAGCCCTCTTGATTACTTGCATCATGGCTTCATCACCTATAGCTACTATTTCTAATTTGCCGTAGAACATCCTTTTGTTCTTACCTTTTGTTGTACTTTCATGCTAGGAATTTTCTCCTGGATCCAGTGGCCGGAAAACTACCATGGGTGTTTATGTTCGCGATCTGATCCTCGGACAGGTAGGTTACTTTCTCCTCCTACTCGATTCTATTCCATTCTGAATAGTATTCTCACGTTGAGGCTGATTTGTATAATGCCATTTTATATGATTTTTTAACTATTTTTTGCAGTACTACTTCGATACTCTATTCCCCAGAGTTCCTGTGCCTGTAATGCGTCAGGTTGTGTCCAATCTTGAAAAGATGAAACTTCCTGCCAAATCATCAGGCTCAACAGGGGATAATAGCCGCCATGGCTCGGAGGAAACTGCTCGTCGGCCGCCTTCCGTGAAGGCTGCACTTTCAGTGTCCTTTGGTCAGCGTGCCCCACACCGGGCGTCAACTAGGGACTCATCACCTGTTCGCCGAACACTACCACACCCTCCTGCTCATGAGAGAAGAACCAATGATAAGCGGAGATCTCCCAGCAGCCATCGCAGCCAGAGTCGTGACAGAGACCTTTCTAATAGGGATCGGGACAGGGAAAGGGAGAGAGAGAAAGATAGGGGCAGAGAGAGGGAGAGAGACAGGGATAAGGACAGGCGGTATGATTATGACCGGAAGTCAAATTATGGTGACCGAGAAAGTAGAAGGGATCATGGAAAGAGTGGCAGAGATGATAGCAGATATCACAGGGATCATAGTAGTGGTCATAGAAGTCGGAGTAGGAGTCGTAGTCGCAGCAGGAGCAGAAGCCGAAGCACGCAGGGAGGAGTCCCCACACCATTCGATCGGGATGGAAACAAGGAGAAGTCATCTTCTACCTCCAGCCATCTTGCGAAACTAAAAGATTTGTATGGCGATTTAAGTGACGAGAAAAAAGGTGACACAGAAATGGAAAAGGGTCCTATCAGAAATAATGGTGGCAGCGAGGAGGTGATTAGACTGGGTGGTTCTAGTTGGAAGTGGAAATAGTTTCCAGAACAAAGAACTTGGTGTATTGTTGACAGTGTCAAAGTGTATCATTTGTTTAATAAGTAAGGCTAACTTTTAGCTTATCAACTGTTTGAAAGCAGATTCTCGGGCTCGCTACGATGACCATTCTTCTCATGTAATCCTTGGGGCAGTTTGCTGTCTAAATTTAATACATGTTTCTTTCACATTATATTCACTCTTTTATGGTGATGGCGTTGTTGAGTTCTTAAGAGAAGCGCAGCTCAACTGTACTGAGTTGCACTCAGCTGAGATTTGAGTCCTGTTTGGGTATGTATGCCTTGTTGGTCAATTTGTGAGGAACTAGTGCCAGAGGTGGATTGACCAGTTGGTCAATTTGTGGGAGAGGGTATGTCTTGTTGTGGTATGTAAAATCCACACACATGCGTCACTACTCATTCGCCTTCTATACACCATTATGACATTGATGAATCATGTCTAGTAATTCACGTCTTTGATGAATCATGTTTAGAGAGTGCAAGACCTACGGGTTTACAACAACTTCCATGCAACTTTGAGCAATTTTTATAAGCTTTAGCTTTTCAGGTTCCTTTGAGAAATTCCAACCTTCGTTATCTTGTGCGTGTGAATTCGTAGTATGATGTGAGAACTACGGATCTAGGCGTACGATTTAGGGATCGAACGAATTAGGGATTGGGAATTTAGGTGAGAAAGAATGGGAATTTGGGATGAGAGAGAGAGCAGAATTGGGTTTCCGGGTTGGAAACCGCCGAGGGTGAGAGGGAAGGAAGGGGGTCGGCCAAGGTGAGGTGAGAGGGAGAGGTTTGGGAACAATTTCTGTATTATTGCTTGCCCTTGACCTAACATAACATCATATATATATCCCGACTAATTACTGTTTACTACCCGAATAATTAACCTAACCGAATGAACCCTCACACTTCCCCTACCAGACAATATCCGAATAATACGCAAATAACAAATAGACTCTCAACAATTATGTTTCTCACAATCCATCCCCCTTGAAACCCACCTTGCCCTCAAGGTGGCCCATGGACCTTGTCGTCCTCCTTCTTGTCCTCTCCTTCCGCACCCAGCTCCATTTCCTCGCCTTCATCCTCCCAATTTCCGACTAGCAGCATTAGGTGACTCTTGGCGCACTGATGGCCCACAGTATACCTCTCATCACAGTTGAAGCAACGTCCGTCCCGGCGCTTCTGATCCATCTCTGCCTGAGTCAGCCTCACGAACCCGCGCGGTGGTGCTCTGGCCGGAAATCGGGTTCCGACAGTGGTCCCTGCCGCCGGAGGGCTTGGTGCCGCCGCCAGTACTCCCGCCTCAGTACCTGCGCCGCCACTTACTCCACCACTGGCCTTCTGCATCCTGCCCACAGAGGATCTCCAGCTTGCTAGCTCCTCCTCCTTTCGCCCTGCAATTCTGAAAGCCACCCGGAGAGATTCAGTTTCAAAGACCTTGACCGCAGTGGCCAGCTCGGGCCTCAGTCCCGCCATACACAACCCCACCAGTGTTTCCTCGGTCATCTCCTTGCATTGATTTCCCAGCTTCAAGAACTCCGCCCGATACTCTGCGACTGACCCTGTTTGTTTAAGCTTGGCCAGTTGCTCCGGTGCCCAGCCTTCCGCCCTGCCGAACTGGTACCGGAGCTCATCCTGGAACCGAGCCCATGAAATCCTCTCACCTGCCGCAGCACATGCCCGCTCAGTCCACTCCCACCACTGGAGGGCATCCCCCTCCAAATAGAAGGACGCCAGATGCGCCTTCCTTTCCTCTATGATCGGATGGTTCCTAAACCACCTCTCCGCCGCATACAACCATAATCCCACATCACCAGTACCATCAAATTTCGGAAACTCAATAACCGGAGGTTTAGCTCTGAACACCAGTTCATCCTCATAGTCATACAGAGGGTTGCTGTATCCGTACCTGTTACCGCCTGATGGCTGCATCGAGTGACCCGACCCGTGATGTCGGTACTCCGGACCCGCGTTCTGCCTCCCTGAGTAGGCCCAGTCGGCCATCTCCTGCTGATATTCCTCCCCGCCACCAGTCTTAACTCCGGATCCTTGTCCTTCCTCCATCCTGCGCCCCTGTCGTGCGCCATCGGCCCGTGGAGTGCCCCAGGGCGGGTAACCAGCCTCGGGACCCGGTCGCTTGCGTCCGGGCCCGCCTCCCGGCCCATAACCGCCGCTGCCCATCGGCCCGCGTCCGGGTTCGACCCGGTTGGGGCCAACCCGTCTCGGTTCGACCGATCCCGGTCCGACCGTAACTGGTCTGGCCGGCCAATAACCCAACCGGTCGACCGGTTTGGTCCAGCATGGGTTCAGTCACCCAATTCTGATCGGGCCCATCTGGCCCAGGGCCCATCTCCCACTCCTCCTGGTCCGCGAAGCTCATCTCCTCATAGTCCGGGCCCAATTCTTCGAACTCCACCACCTTCTTCTTTCTACGGGCCTCCGCAATTTCTTGGGCCGTTGGAGCAGGAAGCAGGCCCGGCCCACTGAAGACTGGCGTGGACCGATCTCCCCTGCCCGCTCCCCCGGCTGGTCTGGGCCCGCCGGGATGGCAGCCTCCTCTCCCGGACAGCCCTGGCGGCCGCGCCGCCATCGCCCTTGCTCCACCGCCGCCGGTCGCATCACCCGGCGCTGCGGCTTCCCTGCCGCCCGAAGCCCCTGGCGGCTTAGCCGCTGTCGCCACCGGAGCGCCGCCCGTAGTCCCTGCCGCGGCTCCTGCTGAGCCCGCCGCCACTGCCGAGGCACTCGCCGCGCCTCCGGCCTCGCCCCCACCCACGCCCGCCGCCGCTCCTGGCGGGCCGATCTCCTTCTTCGCGGCCGCCCCAGCTACAGCCTCTGCCATCTTCTCCACCGCCTCTGGCCGATTCCCCGGGGTTGGCTCTTTGCCTTGAAACACGCCGATCAAGACCTCTTTCATTGTGTCAGCTAGGGCCTTGCACAGCTTCTCTGTCATTGTCGTACCCATCTCCTCAATCGAGGAAGTAATCCGCCCCCCCAGCGCCTCTAGGGCTCCGGTCGAGTCTCGTGAAGCAGCAGCAGCTCGTTCTGTGGACTCCGTTAGACTCTCCAGCGTCGTCACGATCGCGTCATACTTGTTATTTGTGATGTCCTTCACAGTTACGATCTCCTTACCCTGTTTCTGTTGTTGCGGCTTGTCCATGTTCGACATCTCAGCTCCTGCAACTCAATAATCACACGCCAGCCAGGCTCTGATACCACTATGAGAACTACGGATCTAGGCGTGCGATTTAGGGATCGAACGAATTAGGGATTGGGAATTTAGGTGAGAAAGAATGGGAATTTGGGATGAGAGAGAGAGCAGAATGGGTTTCCGGGTTGGAAACCGCCGAGGGTGAGAGGGAAGGAAGGGGGTCGGCCAAGGTGAGGTGAGAGGGAGAGGTTTGGGAACAATTTCTGTATTATTGCTTGCCCTTGACCTAACATAACATCATATATATATATCCCGACTAATTACTGTTTACTATCCGAATAATTAACCTAACCGAATGAACCCTCACACTTCCCCTACCAGACAATATCCGAATAATACGCAAATAACAAATAGACTCTCAACAATTATGTTTCTCACATATGACTAGAAGCTCCGCGGTATCCATAGGTTTATCATCTCTGTCTTGATCATCTTCCTTCCGTCGAGTAGGAGTGGGCATCGGTGCGGTCAAACCGCTCCGAACCGCTTATGCGGTCCATCCAAACCGCACCGTAAAGTTTGCGGTTACATTTGCAGTCTAACTGTTAAACTGTTCGCGGTTTGCGATATGGTGCTACCGAAACCGCGCGGTTGCGGTTTGAAACCGCAAACCGCTAAAGTAAATTTCCTCTCGCAAGTTCGCCTTCCACCACTGAGTAGCTTTGAATCCAGTCATCCAAGACGCCTTAGCAAGGTATTGGAGAAAATCCCCTCCCACCAATTGCACTTCTCACTCAGATCCATTCCCTTCGTTCTCCTAGTTAACTTCCCTCTCACTCTTTCTGTTTGCCTTGTGACTTGTGACTTGTGAGGAGTCACTTTCTGACGAGAAATAGAGGAAAGAAAAACAGAGCAGGAAATTATTAAAGAAAAGAATAATTTACCATCAAGTTTAGAGAGATGGGGATGAAATTGGAAACAATGGAGTCGAAATTACAGAGGGTTTGTTTTTTCTGTGGGAGTAGCCCTGGGAAGAAGACCAGCTACAAAGATGCCGCCATCGAGCTCGGCCGAGAATTGACAAGCAACACACTCCGTTTCTCCTCTGTTTTGCTCTATTCTTGTGTATTCGCTTCTCCCCCCTTCGATTCCACACTACGTGTATCCAATATCTCCCAAATTTCCACCCAGAGTTTCGTTTTATTTCTTCCCAATAATAAGAGCTGGTCTAATCTAGTGCTCAAAACTAAATAAAAAGTGACATTGTAGGCAGGTAATGATAACATTTGGAAAATTGATGAGGCCACCATTTAATTTAAGAGTTGCTGCATTTTCTATAGCTTTCATGCGGTTCTGGTTTCATGTTGTCTGCAGGTTTATTTGGTCTAATTATTGTTTTGGTGGGAGAAATAAGTTTACAGTTTCATGTTTTTGCATCTGATACATGATCATTCCAGCTCATGCAAGGCCGTACCAAGGAATTTGGGTTTTTAGTTATGCTTATAGGAATTTGGTGGAGGTTAGAAATGGATTCCACTTTGCGGTCATACATGTGGTTGCGGTCTAAACCGCACCAAGTCGCTAACTTATGCGGTTTGATTAGACTGCACTAATTAATTTGCGGTTTTACATGCGGTGCGGTTTATATCAACTTGGTACGGTGCGGTTTGAACCGCACCAATGCCCACCCCTACCGTCGAGTGCTCATTCAATTGAATTATTGGTTTGGTTGCTTAGGATTTTATCAACCATATCTATCTTTTGTGTTCTTTGATTTCTTCTGTGTACTCTGACATTATATAATTTGTGTACTCTTATTTAAGGAGACTAATAACAACTTATTGCCTAGGCTTGTATGAACTCGTTACTATGTGTCCTATTCCAACCATCACGAAACAAAACCAAAAATGCTGACAGAATATATTGTCGTATGATCAACAGCATAAACAAAGAATGTTCATTAGAGATCTCAGTTCTAATATTCTTTCGATTTTCGTCCAATCTGGTCTGCGTAAAAAACTCATGGCTGACTGGAACAAAAAGTGAACAATAGTCACTAATCTAGCTATCTTGTTATCCTCATCGTACTTACAAGGCGTCCTATCCGACTAAGAGAAAAAGTTCTTTCAATCTCGTTTCAGGGCCTTTGTGATGAAGGCTCTTGCGATTGCAATGGCAATGTAAGCCAAAACTGTTGCAGCAATACCCGCAAGCAAAATGAGCCTGTCGAGACTAGCTTCTTGAACTTCATAAACCCTCAGGCCAATATTGTCCCAGTTGCTCTCTGTCCAAACAGGGTCTATCTTCGCCATGGGATCAGATGAATTTGGAGGCAGAACTGTCCACACTCCAGAACCGTACTTCAATCTGGTTGAATAGGCCGGTACGTACCTGCATGAGTACAATCGTCACATACTGATTACCGAACATACAGCTAACTACCCAGCAACACCCACCATCCAAGTGCCCCCTTGTGAATTTCCAAAACAGAAGTTGCAAAACAGATTTAGGGGGGAAACCATGCTCATTTTCGAACAGAACTCGATTCCGTGTAATAGATTCAAAAGACATGCATATTTTGAAGGGATTGCACAAATTAATTATATTACCTGGTTGTGGAAGTAACACAGATGCCCTTTGTTTCTGCTTTAATGCACACCTCGCCCTTGTTGCTACAGTCCTGTGAACAGGTGGATCTACTATTCTTCTCAAGTGCAGATGATTTATCAGCCAGAAAGTTCCATATGAACCTGGAGACATCATTAACGTATCCAATGTATGGAGTTGAGGAAGGCTCCCCAAGGACCACGCCGACATAGTGAACAGGACAAGTTGCACTTGGGGTTATGTACTTCTTCACCAGCTCACAAGACAGACCAGGATCACACTGTAGCAGACAACTCAGCATCTCATCGACTAGAGAGCCATTAATACTGATGGAATCTAGAACAGAGCTCCTTATATTTTTGTTCTCGTTTACAAGGATGTAAAGTGTGCGGGCGACAAGAGATGCAGCCGCCACTATGGATGATGAGTTTATGTTAGCTGCATTCAAATGCATATAGAGACAATGGTTACCATTAAATTCTGGATTCAAGTTCATTTTCCAATATCTGAGACCATATGTATACACAAAAACAAACCCATGGTAGGAGTCCAACACAACATAAATAAACTCACACGGATCATCAAGATGACTGTGGTAAAACTTGTTGCTGAAAGCAGCATCAAAATCTTCCAATACAAACCCAGAAGTTGATGAGTTCTGCAGTAAAAGAGAAGCCTTCAGTTATTAACAAGGGAGTGAAAGCTCTCAGCATGTTGCATTTCCACGTAATAGACAGGAACGTCTTCACCAGACAAACATGCACACTGTCCTATGCACCCAGGAACATGACTCTCAGTTTGCCATCCATCTAATGTAAAATTGGCGCGGTGCTGATATTCTTTCCCAGCAAAAGCATAATTTATTGTATGTCGAACCCCCTCAAGATTTATCTTATGCACAATCTTAATTCTTTCCATGAGCTCACTTAAATCCATACCTGATCATATGCTTTTACAGTGCAGAATATGGCTATGAATTTTTTTCAAGCATTCTGGGTGTGGGGACAAGAGGCCTCCTATCGTTGAATATACTATAATCTAACTATGCATGCAAACATTACAAGATTGACGGTAGAAAAACCATAGGAAACGAATGAGAAGGGATTAATTTGGATGGTTTAAAAGCAGTAGCAAGGTACTCCATGGACAAAGATGAAGTGTATAATGACTAACAATATATACAACTTCACAGAGACAAACCTTCTTCACAAATGCCATAGAGGACGACGGTGGTATCCCAGGGTTAGATGTGCTTGCCAATGAGACTGAAATATTCTGGGACCCCAGTGAAACTTCAGCACGTTTCAAGGCATTCAAAGTTGCATTTGTTGCAGATGAAACCTGCAATATTGCATGGGATTAGGCAACCAATTAACACAGCTTTCTTGCTAAAATATCATGGAGTCAAACAACAACAGTTTCGATAACATTGTCATGCAAAAAGAGGGTCACAACTTCACAGTGAAAAATGCTCAACAGGGGTTGTAAGGCCTTAACAAACATAGTTAGAGTTAAAGATGCTTTCAAAGGGATTAATCCACTCCAATACAGATGTAATACGAGTCTTGACTTTTGAGCGCAAGCTTCATCAAATTATAGAGCCACACAAGATATGGCACCACAGGCTCAATAAGTCACCATGGCATTTGCTTTGCCGATGAAGCTTCATACAGTAATGACGATAAACCTCCAAGGCATAGTCTGGTTCATAAGTATACAATCATCTGCCTTCTCCCTCTTTCAACCCAAGGTATACCAGAAACAGAACAAATACAAAGCAAACAAGTGCTGGAAATGAAATTTAAGGGGGAAAAACTCATGAAATTTAAGGGGGAAATTTATTAAGATCATGGAAACAAATACTGATTGACGGTAGGAAAATTATTAGAGAGAAGACAGAATTCATACCCCGGTGGTATGAGCAAAGAAGGTTTCGGTCCCTTGATTGAAGGCCCTTCCAACTGATCCGATTTCAATGACCTTTTCAATAACATAGTACAACATCAAATGTCACTCTCTCAGGCACTATACAAGTAATAGGTTATAGAAATCATACTTGCTTCTTCATTTGCATCAATCTAACTTTTAGCGCAATGATAAACATATATGTCGGAGAATACCATCTCAATCAGTTTGCTATCAAGGCCCCTAACAGCTTCTGACTGCAAATCAAGTTCGAGCAAAAATCGCCTGCTACCTAGATATCCCCATGTTTCTCCAGTAAAAACTGCAAAAACAAGCTAAAAGTACAACAACAGTCTAGAACAATCAACAAAATGATTTGAAATTCGTGTGATGACCAGAACATACCAGCAAAACAGAACAATAAAACAACAACTAATAATAGTACAAAAGCTGTTTTGTAATATTCTTCACTGTATCAGTAACCTAAACCATTTAGACCTGGGGGCAGCATTTTACTTCATGTTGAAAGAACATAGAAAAAGTAGGTCACTACTGTTCCCGACAGTATTGTACAATTTTAACTTATACTGTATTATTTATTATTGCCTTACAAGCTGCTCGACTATGTGGAATTATATATGCTAGTACCTTATGCACATATCATCCAACACTTACAGAAGCTGTACATGAACAGGTCAATTCTTGCATCAATTTCCTCAAAATTTCTATAACAAATAGCTAACATATCAGACTACAAAACCAAATGTGAAGGCAGACACTCAAAGTTTAACTTCAAAACACAGAAAGGACGTACAAACAAAAGAATTGAAACAGACAACAGAGCTACTTGGGGGTGGGGGCTAAATCCACAACCTAGGATGTAAATTGTTTATTCCAATCATATGTGGCACCCTCTAGGCCCCCCAGACTTAAGAACTCAATTAAATGAGGAATAAGAAACAAATATTGGCTGGGCCGCAGGTATAAAGCTGTACAAATCCAACTGTAATCTATTGAGATGTCAAATTCAAATGATTGATACCTGTTTACTAAGTTCTCCTAAAGCATCCACACGAGAAAGCGAATCAACTGCTGCAAGCAATGCAATCAGCCCCTAAAAGAGTATTGAACATGGGTAAGGCACAGTATTTACAGGAGGAAATTATAGCGGAAATGACAATTTTTCAATGGAAGTCAAAGAACTTGCACTCACAGAAATCGGAGATTCTGAACCCAAGTTTTTATCACGGAAGAGCGATCCAGAATCCATAGATGCCACTGTTAATATAGTGGGCTTCACTTGCTTTGACGATGATATATGGATTGGTGGGAGCGATGACCAAACACTGCCCTTCATAAGGGAGATGCATAATTAAAGTTTGGCTAAGCTCACTCCTAAAAAATTCAACAGATATAGACTGTTCTCAACAACATCGAATCCATTTAGGTGCCTGTGGCTGAATAGCTGGGATGATATGAGAACATACCAAAAACATTAGCACTTTTAGTGGGATTAGTTTGATGTTTGGTTCACGTCACCAACTTAAGTACTTAACAACCATACCCATGCCTAGAACTAAAATTACATAAGAGAACAACCATAAACCACATTGGTTATCGGTCTCTGAGCCTATTGACTAACCTAGGAGCTTTGGAATCGAGGATCCATGTATTTATATATTCATTCGTCTTTTCACCATTCATCATGTCCGTGCAGGAAAAATCTGCTGAGATTCTTTGATGATCCTCTAATCTGCTGAGTGTCTTTTCACCATGCATTACCATATGCAGTTTTGCATTTAAACACTGGGTTACTGAACTGTCAACTGACTACTTTGATGATCCTCTAATTTGGATTTTCTTACATTTCCTCGAAATAGGGTGCTTCCAAAGATGCCTCAATCAAGCAAAAACTAGTTGATAAGTATAGATTACAAACCAAAGAAAACAAAAGCACTATTCCATTGTATGCTCAATGCCCACACACCACACAACTCAGTTATATCAGGGTAAGAACAATGCCTCAGTGAGTATAAGATATCATATAGTAAGTGGAAGAACAGATAAAGTGAGCTCTTGATCAAGTTGAACTGATTTGTGAAAATACGAAATGCAGATAACTACATATTTCATATCTAACCTGTATCCCCCTAATGGGAGGCAAGTCCCCTCCTTCAAACAAGACTCTGAGTCGTGTGTGCCGTATTTTGTCGTCTAAAAGCAAACCCATCAGATACAATATATCTAAATGTATATTTTTAGAACTAATTCACTTATACTATAGAGAAACAAAGATGCAAGTTATGCTGAAGCAATGTATACATGTACCTGCATCACCAAATCAAATTCAGCCACGTTTGAGGTATGACCTTCGGTTTTCTTCTCATTCTCCTTAGCAATCTGCATGAGAATGCAACAGTATAAATGAAAAGTGGGATGCATATCTCATGTGCACACTACAACTAAGTCATATACTAAACTGGGGAATGAAAACTGTTAACATAAACTACTGGGATTATCTTAGCTAAGTGCACAAGGAGACTCAAATTTGTTCGCCTAACAATACAATCTTCCTTTTTTTGAAAGAATAAATGCAATTTATTGCTGGGGAACTATTGATTTACCTTCTTCATGATCGGTGTGCTATCGTTCGTCAATAAGAAGATTGGAAAAGTATAAGTGTTCCACAAAATACCAGTTCCCTGTAAATACACATGATAGTATCCCAAATCAAACAGATGCAATGATATATGCATCAGTACATATGTTAGGCTCTGTAACACATCAACCGACTCCCAATAATTTCAAGGGATGCTCAATGTCCAAGCCAAAAGTTATCTTTCATCCAAAAACAATGGGACTAAGATAGATAAAGAACATGTTACTAGTATTAGCTCACATACTTGAAGCCTCCGGCTGTATCATATCATTAGAAATGAAAGAGACATTCAGACTTCCGGTACCTCTATTTTCTCTGACTGAACATATGTTTTGGGTGTAATGATACATCCAGTACATTACCCCTGCTTAAACATGTAAGAATCCTATCTCTATCAATGCCGAATTCAGAAGTACCCATCAAATGAAAAATTTAATTTAACCAACTAGTTACGGGTCATCAAGATTATGAAGGTAACACCTCTCATTGTAGAAGCTAATAAAGATAGCACATCTCAGTCTATAAGCTTAAAACATGGCAAAGCAAAGTAATAAATGGTACTGACTACTATTCATGCTGCAACTTGAGAAAAAAACACTAGATCATTGCTAAGCGTACTCTTGGGTTCCACTCGTAATTGGTGCTCTGATAAGGGGAAAATTCAGCTAGTGGAAACTTGCGATCTGGAGAGAATCCTGCAAGCGAAATAAATATCAGTAGTGTTAACCTCCGTAACCTTATGTCGGAGAACCTTTGTCCTATCAGGAGGCTTGCACTTAGCACAAAACTGAATTTACCTTTAAATTCATTTGGTATACCAGTCCCAGATTCAACTAGAATACCACCAATATTCTTGGAAAGTCCTGGATCCTTTGATATTCTGAAGAAAACAGTGACGTCTGACAATGTGATCTCAATGGAATAACTACTGGGATGAATCACGATTACAAAAGGAATATAAAACCAACAACCATAAGATAAGAGCGTGAATAAAGGTAATGACTGTTGTCAGAATGAAAGCCATGCTACAAGCAGCCGAAGGATAATTAAAGACATCAGACTAGCTAAGGGATTGTGGTTCAGCAGTGTTACTTCCGAAGAGTTTCAACACCTAACCAAATAAGGAGAGGGATTTCCTATCTTGAAGCAAAATAAGCAAAAAAAAAGTAGAAAAAACAAGTCCAACCTAAGGTTCCACATTTCCTGTTCTCATTGTTGGCCACAGAGTGGCAGCGATAGCAAGATGCATTTTCAATCTCCCAGCCAAACAGGATAAAACATAAAAGTTCACCAAACGAGGGATTCGACCAACATTTTCCGCAAAGACCTATGGGAAAGTTTTTCAACCGTTCATATGGTGGTTTTGTACTCCTAAAGGCCAAGTTGGACAGTTGGAGTTAGCTTTACCAGGAAATAGGCAAATGCTTCCCCCTTCTTGTCCTGTTTACCATACTTACTATACTTGTTTCGGCAGCAAAGAGACACTAGAGCAATATTAGCTCAATTCTTGAATGCAGTTCAAGATGTCGACACTAAAAACACAAGCAGCAGGCAAGCGCTGACAATCGCGATCAAACATAGCAGAAACAAACTTTGTTTCCACCGTAACTTTAATGCATGTGTCACCAATTTCCGCAGCCTGCAAAGGCTAGCTACCTCAACTTCAATCACCACACCTAAGAGACATAAAGCAAAGGAAACAAAAGGAAGTGGAGGTGGCAATTGCAGAAACCATGCCTATCAAAAAGTTCGCCCATTCGATCAAGTGAAACCAGAATAGCAGACGGACGAGCCAAATCAAGACCAGTCTGATATCTCACAACCGGAGCAACAACCTTGTCTCTCCCAGGATCTGTCATAAGGGGAAAAGCAGCCCAAGTTGAAGCATTTCTTCGCGTCACAGCAGTAAGATAGCAGTGAGAGAGAAACGAAGCTGTTTCGAAAGTGTTATCTTACTTGCACAGCCTATTTCCCCAGAGAGATTGAGTAGGCGAACGCAAGGGACGCCATCGACGACCCTGTACATGGAATTCTGGAGATCGGGAACGGACTCCATTGATTTTGCTTGTCCTGAGATTTCCCGGACGCACTGGGACAGCAGAAACAACCCTACTAACAAGAAGTAGAACTTCATCGGAGCGGAAAGAGAACAGCCGGCGAGAAATTCCAACCAAGGAAGAGGCCGTATTTTTTTGTAGGAGTGGACTGGAAATGCTGAAGTTGAAAATGCACAGTTGAGTGAATGAACGGAGACGCACGGCAGAGGGTAAACCGGGTTGGGTGGGTCTGTTCTCAAATGTATCCCGCTTACTAGCGATTTGGTATAATTGTGATTCGTTAATTAATTATGTTCTTTTGCGAGTTGAGTTGGGTGAATGGTGAATGAGTGCGATTGGATGTGGGTTAACCTGTAAAAGTAATTCTTCAGCTAGCCATTAAGAGATTTCATTGTACTTATAAAAAAAACTCCATTGTATATAAGTAAGATTGTATCAATTTAGACACTTCTTAGAGATAAAGTTTGTCTCGTGTGAATCCATGTAGTTTTTGCATTAAATTTTTCAATACTCTACCAATCACTTGTGTAGAGGAATTTAGAAAATTGGTGCATTTTGCGACTTTGATAAAATTAATAGTTTATAATTTGTATTAATATCTAATAAATATTATCTGACACAACAACCAATAACAGTAATTCAAAAATATTATTATTCTCCATTTTTAGAAGTAGATGTCATTGTGTATTGTGTAGTGCAGTAAAGAAATATGATGAATACTCGATAGCATAAGAAATAATATTTTGTCATGTAAAAATATAGTGTGGGTCGTGCGAGTGACTTGCAATCCACCCACCACCCACCCATATAAGTACGGGTATGTGGTTTATCAATCCACCCATATCAATCATCCACTGCTTGCGGTTCGGGTTATTTGCAGGTGGATCGATATCAACCCGCGGATTAACCACGTACGTGCCCACCCCTAGCAGATGCCAGCAAGTAGGCAGGCGTGGGCACTTGGTTGAGTGGGTTTTTATCTCAAATTGAACAACCCACTTATTAGGGAATAATAATAATAATGATACGCTATCCACCCAGATTTTTCTTTCATATTGGATTGGGTTGGTAGCAGATGGGTGTGATTGAGTTGTGAATTAACCTGCAAAAATAATTTTTCAAGTTAGAATGACAATTTTGACCTGAATCGTTTTACCTGACCTGTAGGCGAGACGGGCGTGGGTACTCTACTCTACCTAACTTGCTTTGACCCGCTCCATCCTAGACTCATTTTTCTCTAAATCATATGTAAGTTTACGAAATTACTTAGGACTTTACTTTTATTACATAATATTTTAGCTATAATGAAGTTGTTAATAAGTGACAACCTTAATTTCTAGAATGATCTACATTTATCATATGATAATTTGTTTCTTAGTTGTTAAATGGAAAAAATAAATATGTGTAATGTTTTCCCTTTAAATCACATACCCATATGGATCGACCTTCCCCGACTCGTAATCAATTGTGTAGAGAAAAATTCAGGCATTTTGTGACTTTGATACAATTAATAGTTTATAATTTGCATCCCAATATCTAAAGGATATTACACAACATAGTAACTAATTATAGTGGTTAAAAAATATTCTTTATTCTCGACCTATAGAAGTCGATGGTCAATGTGTAGTTCGATTAGGAAATATAATGAATATTCAATAGTATAAACAAGAAACAACTTATCGAGTAACATATGATGCAGGTATTCCGGTGACCCGCAATCCACCCACCTGAGTAAGCGTAGGTAAGAGATTTATCAATCTACAATCCACCCACATCAATCACCAATTCAATGCGATTTGAGTTATTTGCTTGTGGATTTTGTCAAACCGCGGATTAACCACTCACATGTCCACCCTAGTAAATTTTATTGGCTTTTGTTTTCTTTTTTCTTTTTTATTTCGTAAATGATGGGGTCTAACATAGGGGGTTATGCACACTTGTATTATCAAATATAGACCTTAATTTTAAGTGGAGTCAAGTCAAGGGGTGATATTAAATTGATTTTTATTTTTTGTACTTTTTAATCCGTTTTTATCTTTTTGTTTTAACTTTTATTTCAAATAATTGTGCACGGATAGAACGGAATCGTTGTGATCTAGAAATGGTATTCATTTTCAATAGATTTTGACAAAAAAAATTTCACACCACCCATATAATTAGTTGCTACCCTAGTACCACTATGTACCACCTTCATTTTCAGTAAAATTTTGAAAAAATTGCCTAAAAGAAATGACTTTATCATGATCTATTAGATATATAAAGAATATTTTTCATCGAAGACCTACATGGTGCATTGACGGTTCAAGCATCGCGTAAATCAAAAGATAAATAAACTAAAACAACTAAATTAAGGGGTTTTCTTCTTCATTGATAAATAAAACGTAGAGATAGAGTACATATGAGCGAATCAGGCGGCTCCTCAAGCTTCATCATCATCTTCTCGTAGATCACGTCTCGGGAACTTTCTTCCGAACGTTGCTGGTTGAACGTCGGCGGGGCGCCTATGAGCGATTTCGAGCTGTGGCAGGAGTGACTTCTTGCTAGGACCTCTTCCCAAAGTTGGTGATGCTTCCCTTGGGAAATTTTTAGAGGATGCTTTAGAGGATGCTCGCGGGACCCCCTGCTACAAGAAATCCTTCCTAGACGATGCTTTAGAGGAACGCAAGCGTGTATCGATCCGTCACTTTAGTGTGCATGATAGGTAGAACCTATTAAAATGAGCTAAATTCGTAATGCCCCATATACGTGAGCCTTGATTGAGATGACAATGGGACTTGCGAGGCGTACTCGGAGGCGTGGGATTATGACGAAGGCCAACCTAGGCATAACCTTTAACCTTTGTGGGAGTCTTATTGATTCATCACCACAATCCTTTAACCTTTAAAATTCATGGGAGTCTTATTGATTCATCCCCATGATCTTTAAGAGCATTCTATACTCTTCCTCTAAACTTTCACCAGGGTGGGGGGAGTGTCGTTAGTGAAGTACCTCTCCAAATTTTCACCCTAATTTTTTTAGTGGTGAAATACCTCTTAAAATATTGATCTTTAGACGTCTGTCAAACTTCAATAATAAACCATAAATGTAAAGCCTCAAACTAAATAATAAGAACTCATAAACATATACTTGAAAACTCAAATAAAGCACACATCATAAAACACTTCACGCAAAACAAAATACTTAAAACACATAAGGCGTATAATTTACCCCTTTAAACAACTCACCTCTCATATGTCGGTACTTTATTTCCTTTGACGTGGGGTTTGTTAATCAAATTGCTTCTTTAATCCTATAAACCGAAAATATTTTCCCTTAGTTGGGATTCCTCGAACTTGGCCCCTTTAACGTACTAGGAAATTTCTCTCCTTGATTACTTAGCCCCAAAACTCTTTAGAAAGCCCTTAATCTCATTCAAATAATATCCTCAAAACTGGTTTTTTCCCCAACATTTCAATAGGGATGGCAAATATATCCATAACCGTGGATATCCGCCCGAATCCTACCTAGTCGGGTAGGGCAAAACCCGAACCCGAAGAACTTTAATGGGTACGTCGTACGCGTAAAACCAAAACCCGAATAATTCGGATAATGGGTGGGCATGGTTTTCTCGCTATCCAACCTGAACCCGTCCGATTATATACATTCATATGTACTTTGTCTAAAAATAATCATTATTTTTCTCTAACATATTTTGTATTAAGCATATAAATATAGCATTTTCATGAAATTGTGTTGTTTTAATTAATTTTATTCATTCTAGTGAATTATTGACGTACTTTTCCTCTTATGTAATGTGAGAATACGTGTGAATGTTAACAGATTGGTTGAAGTTATAAAGAGAAATTATTACCCATGGATAACCGTGGATACCCGAAACCCAAACGGGCATGGGTATGGTTTTGATTTTCTACCCATTTCTTATGTGGGTATGAGTATGGGTAAAATCCGAACTACTTTGGGTAGGGTAACGAATATGCATTATCAACCCCCGACCCGACTCGTTGCCATCCCTACATTTCAAAGGATCTCTTTAAAGATCCTTTTTAAATAGAGATTAAGGGCCTTTTTAGAGGAGATAGGTTATACCCCTGCATCGTGAAGCTAGCTGAAGTGACATGGGGATATTGGATCCATGCAATGTAGTCAAAAGCGAGTTTTTACGTTGAAACGTTTTGGTGATCTAGAAGCGTAAAATCATAAGTTTTTAAGTTTTAAAGGGGAGTTTCTAACTACATAAGTTATTAAAACTGAGATTTTGTGTAGACGTGTTTTAGTGACCTAGAAACGTAAAATTGTAAGTTTTTAAGTTTTAAAGCGCGATTTTGACTATATTGGATCCATGTAGGAGGGGGATTGGTTGCATGACCATTGCGCCAATCCCCGTATTAGCGATATGTTAGCGGATTCAGTTTGGGCCTTTTGTACATATGTATATAGGTTGGTTTGGGCTTGTTATTGGACCGTGATGTCGGTTAGGGTTTTGTGGGTTTGGACGTGTAGGGTGTGCATGGGAGCTAGGGTTGCATGAGTATATATATGCTCTTTGTAAGCTGTAGCCGATCATCAAGTTGAGTGAATAAGAACAGAGCTCGGAGAGTGCCATACTCTCCCGTGGACTAGTCCCGAATCTCGGGGATACCACGTATATCGTGTGTTGGTTTCGTTTTTGTTTATCGTTCTTTAGTTAAGCCTGATTTGTTAACATGGTATCAGAGCTTTCGTCTGGCGATTCTGATCGTCTTGTTGCTCGTTTGAACTCCAAGAATTACGCTCTATGGGAGTTCCAGTTCCGGATCTTTGTTGAAGGCAAAGGCCTTCTTGGCTGGATTGATGGTTCATCGGAGAAACCCGATGTTGCGGCTCCGGCGGAGGACATCGCTAAGTGGAAACAAGGTGATGCCAAGGTTAAGTCTCTGATATTGGGGTCGGTTGATCCGACCATTGTGCTTGGGCTCCGGTTGATGAAGGACGCGCGGTCAATGTGGAAGCATCTTGAGACCACGTATTCTTCTCACAATGTAGCTCGGCAGTTTGAAGTCCAGACTGCGCTCGATCATTTGGAGCAAGGCGATCGAGATATTTCCACCTATTATAATGATGCTCAGGAGCTGTGGACTGAGCAAGATTTGCTTACGGCGGCGCTGCGGTCCAAGGAAGCCTCGGCTGAAGTCATGGAGGAACGCCAGCAGCAGCGCGTTCTTACGTTTTTGATGCGGTTGCGTCCCGAATACGAAGCTGTTCGTTCCTCTCTCATTAATCAGGATGAGATTGTCATGGATGGAGTGCTGGGCAAATTGCTGCGGGAGGAGTCCCGCCTTCGTGCTCAATCCAAGCTCGCGGCTCGTCCCGGTGAAGGTGAGGTCGTGTTCGCTGCTGCTGCCCCTGGGTCGTCGGCCGTTCCCCAGCAGGGATCGCCGGCGCAAGCCTTCGCCGCCACTCGACCTCAATTCCAGAACCGGGTGCCTGTGTCGGAACTGGAGTGCCACCATTGTCACGTGAAAGGGCACTTACAGAAGCACTGCCGCCAGAGGAACATGTGTGTTTATTGCAAGAAACCGGGACACATAGTCCTGGAGTGTCCTTCTTTGCAAAATCGCCGGCGTTCCCGACCTGATGCTGCTGGAGGCCCCTCGAACCCGGCGTTTGCTGCCCAGCCTGCTCCGTCCATGGCGGGTCAACCAGTGCTCACGACTGAGGCCGTTGAAGGGCTGGTTCAAGCTGCTCTTCAGCGTTCTCTTCCGACGGCGCTAAGCTCGGCCTTTGCGTCTCTCCAAATGTCAGGTAAGCTCAAACCGTGGCTCCTGGATTCAGCCTGTTTTAATCACATGACCAGTGAGTCTCATGCTTTGCGAGATGTAATGCCTGTTGAGAACGTCAGTCTGCAGGTTGCCAATGGTGAAAAGTTGGATGTTAGTGGCATTGGTCGGGTTACACAGCCGGCCTTTACTCTTTCTAACACATTGTTTGTGCCCAAATTGTTTCCGAATCTTGTTTCTGTTGGCCAGCTTGCTGAACAAGGGTATCGTACTGTGTTTGGATCTTCTGGCTGTGTTGTGCAGGAAGAGAAGACGGGGAGGCAGGTCGGGCACGGGAGTAGACATGGGCGCATTTTTCAGTTGGAGGAGCTCTCGGATCAATCATCCCGTAGTCAGTCTTCCTTTGCGTGTCCCTCGCAGTCTGTTTTTTCGTGTTCAGTTTTCTCGAGTCTTGCTGATCAGAACTTGCATCTTTGGCATTCCCGTCTTGGTCACCCACATTTGAGTCGGCTTGTATCCATGATCAAACTTGGTTTATTCGGTGATAATAAGATGATTGATACCTCCTCCAAACTTCTGTGCACTAGCTGTGTAGAAGCTAAGTCTACTCGTAAATCATTCCCGTCTAGTACTACCATTATCAAAGACACGTTTCATATCGTCCACACGGATCTCTGGGGACCGTCTCCTGTAATTTCTAGGCATGGCTATCGTTATTTTGCGTTGTTCGTTGATCACACTACTCGTTTTGTTTGGGTCTACTTCCTACGTTTGAAGTCCGATCTTTTGGCTGTTGCTACTGAGTTTATCGCCATGATTAAAACTCAGTTTGGAAAACAGGTTCGGATTGTTCGGTCTGATGAGGGCGGCGAGTTTAGCTCTCATGATCTCATGAATTTATACCGCTCTCTCGGCATGTTGTTTCAAAAATCGTGCCCAGGAGTATCTCAACAAAACGGGGTAGTGGAACGTAAGAATCGCCATGTTTTAGAAATTACTCGAGCTCTTCTTCTGGAGTCTTTTGTTCCTTCTCGGTTCTGGCCTGAAGCTGTCTCCACGGCTGTCAGGTTAATTAATTTTCAGGTCACCCCTGTTCTTGATAATCAGAGTCCCTATTTTGCCCTGTTTTCAGTTCATCCTGACTATGATAGTCTTCGTGTCTTCGGTTGCACTTGTTTCGTTCTGTTACCTCGTCGGGAACGTGATAAGCTTTCCTCTAAGACGGCCCGTTGTGCATTTCTTGGGTATAGTTCGGTGCACAAGGGCTATATGTGTTTTGATCCCCTCCTCGATCGAATCCGAATCTCCTGTAATGTCGTATTCTTTGAGCACCTCCCATTTTTTGAGAAATCAGCCGAGTCCACCCAGTTTGCTTCATCTTTGTGTCCCTTGGTTTTTGGTGAGTCCTTTGATCCGGGAGACCTTCTTACTGTGGAGGAGACTATGCCCGACCTGCCCCCGCCATCGCCCCCGGCATCTCCTGCCCCGTCGTCGTCCTCGTCAGCGGCTGGCGCCACCCCGCCGGACTCCCCAGCTTCTTCGTCTCCTTCTCCCGCTCATCCGCGACGGTCCACCCGGTCCACGTTGGGGAAACCCCCCACTTACTTACATGACTTTGTGACATATAATGTGGATTCTCTTGTGATTCCAACTAGGTACAAGCAGGCCAAGGGAAATCCATTATGGGACGGCGCCATGGATACCGAGATTGATGCCCTCCATGCGAACAATACGTGGACTTTAGTGGATCGTCCTCCTCCGCCCACTCCGGTCATTGGCAGTAAGTGGGTTTATGACCTGAAGTTCAACCCGGATGGCAGTTTAGAGCGGCCCAAGGCTCGAGTTGTGGCTCAAGGATTCAGTCAAGAGTTCGGCATTGACTACACGGAAACGTTTGCTCCCGTTGCTAAAATGCAGACGGTCCGTACCTTGCTGGCTGTGGCGTCTCTGAAGCATTGGCCACTCCTGCAATTAGACGTCAAAAACGCCTTTCTCCACGGTGACTTGCAGGAGGTGGTCTACATGGAGCGGCCACCTGGATATGCTTATGGTACTTCTGATCAGGTTTGTCGGCTTCATCGTTCATTATATGGTCTCAAACAAGCACCCCGTGCTTGGTTTGAGAAGTTCCAGCACACCATTACAGGACTTGGGTTCTCACAGAGTCTTAATGATCCGTCACTGTTCACGAGGGTCACGGATGCAGGTCTGGTTGTCTTGTTGCTGTATGTTGACGATATGGTGGTTTCCGGGAGTGATGCAACTGGCATTCGCGCTCTTACTGATGGTCTCCATGCGGCGTTTAAGCTCAAGGAGCTTGGACCTCTCTCATACTTCCTGGGACTTGAGGTCACTCGCACATCGGACGGCTTATTTTTGAGTCAACATAAGTACATTGAGGACTTACTACAGGAGACTCATTTTGATCATAGTCGGTCGGCATCCACCCCTATGGAGCTTAATGTCAAGCTCAGCCGTGACACTGGGACATTGCTCACGGATGGGTCACAGTACAGGTCAATTGTTGGCAGCTTAATTTACTTGACGCACACACGGCCTGACATTTCCTATGCTGTGCAGGTAGTTAGCCAGTTCATGGCTCATCCCCGGGATGCGCATCTGGTGGCTGTTCAGCGTATCCTTCGGTACCTTCGGCAAACTGCGACTGTCGGTTTGTTTTTTCCCTCGTCCGGGAAGCTTGAGCTACAGGCATTTTCAGATTCTGACTTCGCAGGCTGCATTGATACACGGAGATCGACTAGTGGTTGGTGTGTACGTTTCGGGGAGGCTTTCATTTCATGGCGCTGCAAGAAACAAGATAAGGTCTCTAAGTCGTCTACTGAAGCGGAGTACCGCTCCATGTCTGAGGTTGGTTCTGAGCTGGTGTGGCTTCGTCGATTGCTTGGTGATTTTGGTATCCAGTGTGCGACACCTATGCCTTTGTTTGTGGACAACACGAGTGCCATCCAGATTGCTGTGAACCCTGTGCTCCATGATCGGACCAAGCACATTGAGATACACATCCACTACATTCGTGATCTCGTTCGCGATGAGGTCGTGGTCCTACACTACATGCCCACTGAAGATCAGGTCGCGGATATGTTCACTAAGGCCTTCACATCCAGTCGTCATTGGTACCTCTCTAGCAAATTGATGCTTCGCGAGCGGCATCAATTTGGGGGAGGCTGTTAGCGGATTCAGTTTGGGCCTTTTGTACATATGTATATAGGTTGGTTTGGGCTTGTTATTGGACCGTGATGTCGGTTAGGGTTTTGTGGGTTTGGACGTGTAGGGTGTGCATGGGAGCTAGGGTTGCATGAGTATATATATGCTCTTTGTAAGCTGTAGCCGATCATCAAGTTGAGTGAATAAGAACAGAGCTCGGAGAGTGCCATACTCTCCCGTGGACTAGTCCCGAATCTCGGGGATACCACGTATATCGTGTGTTGGTTTCGTTTTTGTTTATCGTTCTTTAGTTAAGCCTGATTTGTTAACATCTTCGACGTCTACCGGGTGCTCCGCCCCGGCGGGCTCTTCTGGCTCGACCACTTCTTCTGCGTCGGGGACGAGCTCAGGGACGTGTACGGCCCGCTCATCCGCAGCGTCGGGTTCAGGAAGGTGAAGTGGGTGGTTGGGAGGAAGCTTGACCGCGGGGAGGAGCTCAGGGAGATGTACCTGTCTGCTCTGCTTGAGAAGCCCTTGGACAACTCTTGGTGATGATGATTGTTTAATGTGTGGGATTTTGATGATTAAGGGTGTAGTTTGGTAGATGTTAACAACATTTGCAAATTTGGCACTTCTACTACTTCATTAATTTTGCTTATTAATTTCCTTTGCCTCCATGTCTCAATTCTCAAATTGAGACACACAAGTCCAATACACAAAAGATAAGTAAAATCAATGATCATGTATTGAACCGCCTATATTCCAATTGATTCTAGCTAGGGCTTGACTTGAACCAAAGTGAATGGAATTACTAGAGAGCTAGTATAACAATCTCATTCAAATCATATCAAAATCCTCTCTCTACAATAAGTTAGAGGTTCTAACCCCCCAAGTCTCAATGGAATTGACCCATGAAAGAAGAGGAGGAAGAAGAAGAAATACAAAAGGGGAGGCCATCTTCTACCAGTCTTCGAATCTAGAACTTCAAGCTTCCCAAGATGTGAGCACCATCCACTTCTTTCTCCAAGCTTTCTTCTCTTATTTGTCAGCAAAAACACCTTGCCTCTCTTCTCTTAAGTGTATTGGAAATATCAAATGGAGATCCTCTTCTTTAAAAAACAAGTATTTGTAATTATAAGCATGGGATGGACGGGTTGACGACTTGAGTTCATGTTGCGAGAATCAAGTCATCGTAACTATTGGGTCTCGATCTGGGTTTGGTTATTTTATTATTAATTAGTACTAGTTTTTTTACCCGCGCTTTGCTGCAGTGAGAAACTAATTTTATTTTAAATTACATTACTTGATTTAATATATTAGTTGAAATTAAATAGTTCAAAAATAGTTTGGGAAAATACTTCCTTAAGTTACGAATGATATAATCTATGATTAAATTTTTATGTAAAATTAACTCCCCTTCCAATATTTATGTATAATGCAAATTAATGAGATGATTAATAGTTTAGTTAAATTTTAGGAATTTAATTCAAATTTATACTACGGAAGATTTATGTATTATATTTATTTAATTGATACATAGAAATTAGTATCCCTTCATAAGTTTTACGTTGTGTCTTAGTCATTACAAAAGATTTATTTAATACATGATATTTAACCGATACATACGAAATAATTATATCTCTATAAGCTTTATGAATGAATTTTTCATTTGCGTAAGTGTTATAAAACGATGTTACGTAAATTATTCTTAATGTGTGGTCTAATGATAAAATCATGCAAGTTATTTATAGTATCACGTTCTATTAAACGACTATATAAAAGTATCTTACCTTATATGACTTTTGCATAATGCAAATGAGATGATAAACATTGTAATTCTATAACTTTTATTTAATGTATTTGTATTTCGCAAATATAGTTGACTATAGATGAAAAGGAACTTATGGCTACAAAATACTTATTTGATAAGCTATGTTCAATTGATACATAAGGAATAATTATCCCTTTATAAGTTTTATGTACGAATTTTTAATTTACATAATTGTTATAAAACGTACGTTAAGTAAATTTTTTGTAATACGTGGTCTAATGATAAAATCAGGTAAGTTATTTTAAGTATCACATTTGATTAAACTACTATGTAAAACTTATCTTACCTTACAACTTTTTTGTGTTATGTAAATTGATGATACAACTTAATTCTATAAATCTCATAAACTATGATCAATTTAATTGAAAATAATAGTCGATGGTCATGATTCGTCGAAATACATCCAACAAATTATATGCATCATCATAGTGTTTAGGGTCTATGATTTAGATAAAGTCACCAAGGATTAGAAATTTAGAATATAGTATCATACCCCAAAACTCGAATAATTCGAGGTCTAGATATCATTTTATTTTCTTATCGAGGTCTCACTAAACTATAAACCACTAATTTTTTTTATTTCAACATCTGATATTGTAATGAAAAGATAGAATGGTAAATATGCAATCTAATTCAAATACAGAAAAAAAAACTATAGAAAGACCGTCGTACCCCACCGAATAACTTGTGTCGTGTTCGTGTATGATTGGAAAATATCTACCCAACAAATAAAAGTCAAATGAGAAAACTTGAAGCCTCATTTCAAATTTCCTGCATCTAGAGTAAAAGTAGGAAGGACATTTTGGTCTTCACAATTACTTTTTTTTATTCATTAAAAAGACACTATTAGGATTCGAACCATGACTACTTTAAAGAAAAGTAAAGATCATAACCAATCACACTAAGTACATTTGTTGTATCTTCTTAAATTAAAAACATATAATCGCAGAGAGGAAAAAACCATTCCCCGATTTCAAATTCCCTGCTCTAGCAGCGTTTGTAGGAAGGGTAGAATAGGGAGTGTCAATTTTTTTCTTTTCCTCTATGGAACGGGCCAACTTACCGTACACATGCGGATTTAAACGGGTTCAGTAGTGTCAATTTTTTTCTTTAAGTCCTTTTATTTCTCCGTGGTGGTAAAATATATATGAAAAGGCAAAAACAGTACTCGTTTTTATTGCTAAAAAGAAAAAAAATTAACAATAAACTAATGCATGAATTCTAATGGGCTAACCACTAATCACAAAATAAAAGTGTTGAATGGGCCTGACCTACACGAGATTTGCCCATCAAGTAAAACAAATGACATCATGGGTTTGCCATTCTAAAACAAGCTATTTTCTCTAACATAATATATATTATGCTATTATTTTATATCTTAGTGGCTAAAATATAATGTATTTTAAAGTTATTCAATGGTTCAACCTCGACCAACCCAATTAGTCCAATTTTTATCATTTCAAATATATATTATGTAATTATTTGATATCATAATGATTAAATTATAGTGTATATAATAGGGAATCGTTTGGTATTTGTTAGTAAAAAACTAAACAGAAAGATCTATTTGGTTATTTTTAACATTAAAACGATCCTAAACATTTTCAGTTTCCTTTCGAAATTCTATATTTTTATTCCCGAATCAGTGATGTGCAAATGGCGAATTGCAGTCATCTCTTTTCTTTCATTATTTTTTATTTTCAAATAGAAAGTTTAAAAATAAAGAAAAATTAGAGTTTGGCATGGGTCGGTCAAATAGCCTGAATTTAAAGTTTTGGCCCGTTTTGATCAAGTCTAATTTATAATGACATGGTTCCCTGATACCCGATAAAAATCTCAATCCAAACCAGTTTGGCAGATGAGTCTGTGTTTACCACCATTTTCTAGGGATACAGGAACAGTGGTTCCTATCCCAAATCGTGTTGTTCATTCTTGATTTCTTTAGATTTTATCATGGCTTGGCAAAAACCAGAAAGCACAATGATGACAAGATGAAAGTTTTATAAAGCAAATTAATCAGCCAACGAGCCGAGTAAAAGCTAGCAACGATTGTGAGATGCTCATTTCCCGAAAACCGACGGGATAGGCGATTTTTATTCGATATTCTGGAATTCGGTTTCTATAAAATTTACTCCACCTCATCATATTACCAGAAACAATATTCTTTCACAAGGTAACAGGTACTTGATTTTGGTTCACAAGGCTGATTTTTGATTCGTTGCATCATTCATGTATCTTTCCTACTAAAATTCACTATTTTTATCACGTGTTTCCCAAAAAAAAACTATACAACAATAAGCTATACACCCCATTACATTATCAAATTTTATACTGCATCTTCCTCTGGACAAATGACCGGGTCCCACGCTAGTATATATAGACATGACTCGTATGCTCTAGGCGCACATCATGCTCCAAATTCTCATTATTTAATAAGAATTATTATTACATCATACACCCTTTAAATAATTATATGTTCTATGAAGTCCCTGAAAAATTATTATCATTAATGTTCCCGTACGATACCTTATTTTTTAGAGGTGTATCATTCAACATCCCAAATTTATATAATTGATCATATAATGAATCAAAACTTCATTGTCATCATGCCACATTGTGATGGAAATCAGTACGATATTGGTATCCCAATACCAAATACCGAAATTCTGAATATCGAATTACATCCTAAAATCAATCCCAATACCAATCCCTAAATAATTTTGGTATCCCAATCTCAATCCCTAAATATTTCGGTATCCCAATCGATACTTCGATATTCCCATCGGTATTATCGCGTACAAAATTAATTACCTTTGCAATTAATAATTAAATATATAAATTAGATTTAATTTTTAATTTAGGGCAAAGAGACAAAACAATGACTTAGTTTGCCTGAGCTAGAATATGGATATGGTGAATGGATGAGATGTAACATCTCACATTCTTGTCATTGATAATCTTTAATTTGACGAATTGTAGGCTGAGAGACGACTAATACTAATGTTTGTTTTTTGGTGTTATGAAAATAATAAGATATTAGGTGAGAGACGAGAATGACTTAAAATAAAAAGTCAAAAGTAAGTTGGATGGGGGCTTCTAAGTTGTGAAAGAGTGAGGAATGACCGAAGGTTGTGTGCTATATTTCATTAATTTTTAATTTTTGGTATTTCTCGATATTTCGTTACTTTAGTGATCTCAATCTCGTAATCCTAAAGAATAGCCCTCCAAAATGAATTCCAAGCCCTAAAAAATAAGCCAGTATTCGATAATACCAAATAGTGACAAATTCGGTACGGTATTCGCTATATCCCAAATACTGGTACCAAACTTCCAGCGTAATGCCACACCCCAAATTGGATTAATAAATAAAAACTTCATCGTGAAAGGCCATCGTTTGTCAAAGTTATTAATAAACGGTATATGATCCACGATTGAACCTCTTTCAACAACTTGAGTTATTGAGATCAATTAGTTCTTAACATGGTATCGAAGTCTGCTGTAACCGTGAGATCATCTGTTCGATTCTCGGTGGAGCCACCGTTTCTGTTAAGATACCCAATATCTATTCTCAAATATATTACGGACTGGAAAGGGAAGCTTGAATTTGGAAGCTTGAATTTGGAAGCTTGGGGTAGGGCTTCGAGGCATGCATAGTATTGTGCGCAATTCCGATAATCCACGAGACCGCCGCATCCCTGCACATTTCCTCCACATCAATTCC